CGTTCATTAAACCTTACTCTTAGGAAAGAACTTAATTTGTATGCCAACGTCCGACCTTGCTGTAGTCTTCCTGGCTACAAAACTCGTTATGATAATGTAGACCTTATCACTATCCGTGAAAATACAGAAGGGGAGTACAGTGGACTTGAACATCAGGTAAGTTCTAGCAATTGATTTCACATTCTATCATTGAACTTATGACTGATATTAACTCTTTTCAACCTCCATCTCCTGTTGACAGGTTGTGAGAGGTGTAGTTGAAAGCCTCAAAATTATTACACGTCAAGCAAGTTTAAGAGTGGCTGAGTATGCTTTTCATTATGCCAAGACACATGGAAGAGAGAGGGTGTCTGCAATACACAAAGCTAACATTATGCAAAAAACTGATGGACTTTTCCTCAAGGTTCACGGATACATAAAATTGCATGTACAATCAATTGGCTCCAATTTTTCTTCCACAATTTTTTCCGTTAACTTGTATTTTGAATTGTTTTCAGTGTTGCCGTGAAGTTGCTGAGAAGTATCCTGAGATAACTTATGAGGAAGTTGTCATTGATAATTGTTGTATGATGGTATGGTGTCTCCCTATATGAATATTGGCAAATCAGATGTGTGATACAATTGCATTTTGGAATTGTTTTGTCAGAAAAGGAATAACACTTGCTCTTGCCCATTTACAGCTTGTGAAGAATCCAGCTTCATTTGATGTATTAGTGATGCCTAACCTCTATGGTGATATTATCAGTGACCTTTGTGCTGGTTTGGTTGGAGGATTGGGCTTAACACCAAGGTATTTTCATTTTTTGTTAAAAAATGTAGAATGTTATGAATACCATTTGATGCAATTTTGTAATGTCTGCAGCTGCAACATTGGTGAAGGCGGTATTGCGCTAGCTGAGGCTGTGCATGGTTCCGCTCCTGATATTGCTGGAAAGGTGAGCTGTTTCCAACCACTCCCTAATCTTCATCAATCTTCAATCTTTTCACCTTTTTTTTCTTTTGGAACAATCAATCTGCTCGCCTTTTTATTGTAGAGTTTGCATTTTTTGGGTGCTTTTCCCCCACTCGTGTTTGATTTGTGATGGCATTGGAGGAATTAATAGCCTAAGACACAGATCTTTGCCATCATCCAGATCAAGGGTGAAGTTATGCTTATAGGTTTTGTTTTTAACACTATTGTTTTGGTTGCTGATACTGAACATTTCCCTTTGGAATCTGAGGCCTAAAATCTTTTCACAAGTTTAGTTGTAATATAAAATACCTTTAAACTGACATAGAATGCATATATTTACAAAAATAATGTTAAGTAACTGGTGTCCCTGAAATGTGAAATGCGACCTGTGTGTGAAAGTTGAAAAGGAAGAGTTGCAGTTCTGTCAATATCAGAGGCATTAGTGGTCTACTGAAGACTTGGGGTAGTGGACATGACTTTCACAACTATGAAGTGAAATTTGGTGGTGGTGTTTTTTGAATGAGATCTTTTGAAACGTTTGTGATCTGTGTACTTCAATTTTCTGCTAGTATTGTATTCTGCTATGAAAAGTTTTGCTGCAGTAATAAACTATATGTGCTCGATTTATTAAAACATTTTTATTGAAGTTTTACGTTAATTGATATGGTCCTCCTCTTTCAAGATAGCTTTTCTTGTGTGCGTTGCTTAGATTGGCTGGCAGACTGAGGCTAGATAATGAAATTGAGGCAGAAATTAATGATCTTCCAAGAAGAAGCTTAGATTTTCTGATTTGTTGTCGTCGTATAGTTGTCAATTCATTTTCCCCTCAAATGCAGCCTGGGTCATAATGCCATTTTTCTAATTCATATCTTCTTTGGGTTTATGTAGAACTTGGCAAATCCAACTGCTTTGCTGCTGAGTGCTGTTACAATGTTGCGCCATCTTGAGTTCCATGACAAGGCGGAGCAGATTCAAAATGCCATACTCAACACAATTGCTGAAGGAAAATACCGAACTGCTGACCTTGGTGGCAGTTCATCAACAACTGACTTTACAAAAGCAATTTGTGATCATCTTTAAATTTGTGAGTTAACCAAAAAGGAAACTCATTCCCAATGTTTTTCCCCCAGCCAAGTTCTAATTTATTTACAAGTTTTTTCTGTTGAGAAGAGTAGGATTACATCAACTTAAATGAACAGCTCACCTGCTTATGTTACCTTGCCTCAAAGGATGAGGAATGGATGGGCAAACATGGCTTCAAATATTCGGGGCCAACGCAGTTGCATGGCATTAATGAGGGCGATGGGGTCTCTACTCTTAAAATGTAATCGCATGGATGGAAAACCTCGGCTATCCTTAATTGCTATTCTTTGTCAATAATGTTGCCAAATAAAAGCACCATATGATGTTATATTTCATCAAACTGAAGATTTGTTTTTTACAGTCATTTTAAACTTAATTTTGTGGTTATACTCCCACTAGAGGGTAATCTGGGATGTTAGCGCATTGTCCATTAATTTTCAATTTATTCTCTCTAATTTGTAATTTGCAATTTATTCTTGTTAGTGTTGTGCATATTAACTATGTAAATAAATTTCATCTTATAATTTAATAACTTGTACATCTTTAAAATAAACACAGTGAATTGTTGTATTTTAAAATTTTTTATTGGGTAAAAATCATATACACCCACTCTTTACAAATTTATGTAAATCAAATTTGTTCTTGAAGTTATTTTTTTATGAAAATAAGTTATTTTAATATCAGATTATTATTTTTATACATCTTGTTACTTTTATGTGCAGTAAAAATATAAATAACTTGTTTTATTTTGATATAAATTATTTTAAATTTTGTTACCACATACATATTACAAATATAAACAATATGTTGTTATTCCACAAATATTATTTTCACCTACATTAAATTAAAATTTAACCAATAGTTCGTTTTATTTTATAATTTTTTATTCTATTCATATTAAATATAGGTTAAAAGAATAAATTGACATTTAAATTTTAAGTTAAGAAATTTTTTGAACTCCAAACTTATTTTTAGTGTAATTTTTTTTTTAAATTTTGAAGACAATGTAATTTATATTTTATCATTAATAAAAGTTAATTTTAAATGTTAATTGATCATAAAATGACAAAAAAAAGAGAGAGATTTCAAAAATTTTAAAATAGGTAAATAATTTTTTGTAATCTTTTGGATTTTTTATGCAATTTTTAATGTTTATTTTATCATTTTTTTAATCAATTAATAATTAAAATTAACTTTTATTAATCATAAATGTCAAATTGCACCATTTAAAAAAAAATTTGCTCATAAAAAATTAAAAGAAACATTATATTAAAAATAAATTTAAAATTTCAAACGATCTTAAACCTATAGTTCAATGTTAAGTTGTCATTTTATCCCTTAAAAAATAAATAATAATTTATTTTACTCTAGAATTTTTTTTCCCACTCAAATTAAAATATGATTAAAATTTAGATAACAATATATCAGGCACAAATATATGAATTATTTATGAGAGTCAAATATTTCATTCAGTAAATTGTTGGGGTAAGTTCATTTTAAATTTTTATCTTGTGTATATTAATAAGTTAAATGCCATATTTCATTTCATAATTTATTACCTCATATACCTCATGTATAGTAATTATTTTAATAATAATTTTTTTATGTTGTATGCTTGTATGCACGTTAAAAATATAAAAATTTATTTTTTATATAAATATAAAACAATTTATTACCTTGTACATATTAAAAATGCAAAAACAAATCATTGAATTATAAAATTTGTTATTTTTTGTAATTAAAATTCTTAACATCTATCTTTCTACTATTCATATAAATTTACTTTTTGTTATTTCATTAAGAGTTACCCATTAACCTTTTTTATTGTTTAATAATTATTAAAATATTATTTATTTGCACACTATACTATTATACTTCTTTTCTACTTTCTCTATCCAAAATTATAAGATAATCGGGACAAGATGATACATATAAAAAATTAATAATAACACTTTACAAATTAATTTTTAAAACAAAGATATAAATTTTTAAAAATTCTCTTCATTTAATATAACTTTAAATCTATACAGTTACAATACTACAATCATTTCAATTCTATTTTCATTTGAACATAATATTATAAAAGCATTTTTAATGAAACTTTGTCTTTTATCAAATTATCTTATATTTTAGAACAATAAAATATTTTTAAAATTATGTTATAATTTGATATGGAAGAATATACTTTTGTCCATCAATTTCTTTTTTTTCATTCCCTCTGTTATTTAACCATAATAAATGGGGAAAAAAAAATTTGGACCCTGCTGTCACCTTCAAAAAAAAAAGGAGATCAAACAGTGACTGTCAATATATTTTACGACCTCTGTTTAAAAATATAAAATATTTTTAATTGAATCTTACTTTTTATAAAGGAGTTATCTACTTTTAAATTAACCTTATTTTTTTATATTAACTCCTATTAAATACCCTACAATAAACATAAAGTTATTATCAATAGAGATATTTAAAAAAAGTAATAATTATGCCTTAAAAATTTAAAAATATTTTATATTTTTTAATATTTAATTTTTTAAAAAATATTTTATATTTTTTAACGAAGGGAATACATAGAGTATGGAGGAAAGTGATGCTATCATACAAGCACTCACCCGCGTTATCCTTTCTGAATGAATAGCAACTCTACTCGTCCTTCAGTCTGGAATAAATGGTGGGTCCTCTACGCGGCTAATGTTAAAACAATCTCTGTATCACTGTGAAGATAGAAAAAGTACAATAAGTTTCAGAAATTTAGCACTCATCCATAATCTCTACTGTTAATATGAAGATATTATGAACGAATATTTTTAAAAGCGTTATTTTAGTCATGAAAATGAAAATGTTGAAATTGAAGGTATGTCTCATTCACGTTGTTACTTTTTGTTGAATTTTTTTTTTTTTAGGAACGAGATTTTTGTTGATTTTTAAAATATATAGGCCGCAGAGTTTACCCATCTCGGGCGCTTGGGAGTGTATATGCTTGATTTGATTTCTATCCACCCGCTAATGGGAATGGCGAGTTGGTAGGAGTGTTGATGTTTGACTTCCCAAAAGGAGAATGGCAGATGCATGTGAATCTTCTGATGGATACGAAATTGATTAAATAAAAAGGTTGTGAATGAGTGGATGGCTCCAAATTCCGCCAAGTCGCGCCTGCAGCTTTTGCTTGTCTCTACCCTCCCATCATCCACCAATGGCGTCCCAAGGCATTCTTCTGGGAATGGGCAATCCCCTCCTTGACATCTCATCCGTCGTCGACCCCGAGTTCTTGCAAAAGTAAGCACGTTTAGTCCCCCCTCTCTTTTCTTCGCCTCTCATGCTCTGCGTAATTTCCTTCCTTTAATTTTCTCTGGCAACGTTATTTGTTTTAACTATCAAATAGTTCTGCAATCTGAGTTAATCTAATCCTACGTGTCTCTTTGAGCTTCATTTCACACTTACCCACTTCGTGCTCTTGAATCCTTAAATTTGAGAAGGCCTCCCATGGTTATTTCGTCTATAAAAAAACAGTTCAGAGTCTCATCATGTTATGTTAGTTTGCTCACAAGAGATTTCTGGTGAATGTTAGTTTGGCCTTGCACAAAATATCAAGTTGACAGAATTTGTTGGTTCTTGCGCTAACAGTCAGGTATTTCACTATTTCTGGATTTGCGCTTCATAAATTTATGGATGGCTAATATCCGACGATCAGTTCTATTCCAAACTTTGTTCTATCGTGTGTGTACGAGGTCTCCGGTTATCTGATTTGTCAAAAATTCATGATTGATTCGTATTTGATAATCAATGTCAAGGATCACTTCTCACTTTTCTAGACGATTTGACCTGGCTTTTTTGTGACAGATACGACCTCAAGTTGAACGACGCAATCCCTGCAGACGAAAAGCATCAGCCTATGTAAGAAATCTCACTCGATGCCTACGCTACGGTTGTTCACAAATTCACGTTCTTACTGATATCGTTCATTGTCTAGCTTATGTTTGGCATTAGTTACTGTTGGAACCGTCACCCTTCAATAACATGTTTGCCTTGTTATCGTTATGCATATTGATTAACATAAATTACTAACAAGTCTGTTCGCAAATCAACAAAGTGAATTTGTTTTAGCTTAATGAGCTTGTGGTTAATTTTCTCATTGCGTCATTCTGTGAAAGTTAAAGCATGTTACCCGTTTGCCAAGCAAAAGAAGAATATAGTGCGGGACTTGTGTATGACCTACTGGGAATAGATCCTCGGAACAGTTGGTTCCCAACAGAATCTGGGCTCTACATTTTCTTTATCACCTTGGAATCATTTGTGTTGACAAAAGATAATTTAACTGAGATGAACTATGGACCAATCTTTCGCACATGATCATCTCAGGTACGAAGAAATGGCCACAAAACATAACGTGGAGTACATAGCTGGAGGTAATACATTTGGTCTAACATTGGAATTGAGAAAATTGATTTACTCGTCATGTCATAAGCATTCTTCGAAGCAAAATTCTAAGTACACATTGTTGAATTTTCAAAAAATTTCTTATTTGCAGGTTCTACTCAGAATTCAATTAGGGTTGCACAGGTATGCACTTAAACTTTTATGATTCATAATAGAATCTAGAATCTTGATCAAAGTTATTTTCTATTTGTCTTGCAGTGGATGCTTCAAACACCAGGTTTAACAACTTATATTGGTTGCATTGGAAATGATAAATTTGGCCACGAGATGACGAAGTACTCAAAAGATGCTGGCGTAAATGTAGGTTTTATCTAGTCTCGTACTTTCTTTGTAATATGTTTCTCTGACGCGGACCCTGGAATCCTATTTTTTAAAATTGCCTTATTCATTCAAAATTAGGTACAATATTATATAGATGAAACCACGCCCACTGGAACTTGTGCTGTTTGCGTAGTTGGTGGTGAAAGGTCTGACATTAATCTGATCTTTCCCTTATCTCCTTAAATACTTATTCTTATTGTTGTTTTCCTAGAACTTATATCTCCGGCTTCAAGACAATTGGATCAGTCCGGATATTTTTTACCTTTTCTTAGTGATCTTCACTTGGATTTAAATTTAGGTCTCTTGTTGCCAATTTAGCGGCTGCAAACTGCTACAAGTCTGAACATTTGAAGAGACCGGAAATTTGGGCTTTGGGTACCTTGTTTGTCCATGCTGTGTCTCTCCATGTTTTTTTTTTTTTTTACCTTCCTCTCATCTCCAAGTAATTCCCGGTGACTAACAGCTGATATGATGCAATCTTTTCTTTAATAGTTGAGAAGGCCAAGTATTTCTATATTGCTGGCTTCTTCCTCACTGTCTCCCCAGATTCCATCCAGTTAGTTGCTGAACATGCAGCAGCAAATAACAAGGTATGATAAGATGAAATCGGCCATGCCTTCTTACTAGCTGTTTCTGATGTTTTTCTATTTTGTTTCTGTATGCAGGTCTTCATGATGAACCTCTCTGCCTCGTTTATTTGTGAGTTCTTCAAGGATGCACTGGATAAAGTTTTGCCGTAAGGAACTTTCTCATTCGAGTTCATGTGAATAAAATTTAGATACTGATATAAGGGATGGCCTTTCTGGATTCAGGTATATGGACTTCGTTTTTGGAAACGAGACTGAGGCAAGGTCATTTTCTAAAGTGCATGGCTGGGGGGTAAATATGACTTGCTATTGCTAGCAGATCTCTGCTTTCGCGGGCTTTAGATATTGACTTGTCAGGTCTCTTTATATCGACTAGATTGATAATGTGGAGGAGATAGCTCTGAAGATTTCCCAGTTGCCGAAGGCATCAGGAACACACAAAAGGATCACTGTGATCACACAAGGAGCAGATCCTGTGTGTGTTGCTGAGGATGGGATGGTGAAAAAGTTCCCTGTGATACCATTACCTACAGAGAAACTTGTTGATACAAACGGAGCAGGTACCTGTCCAATTGCTTAGGAGTTACAATGGAGCATAAAGTTTGCGTCTACAATTTTGTGCATAAACTGTTTATTATGAGGGAAAAAAAAAAAACAAAGCAAAAGAAATATCAGTTCAATCCTGCCAAGGCATGACTATCTGTCAAGTATCTTCCTTTTGTCATGGTTCAGAGTGGATCGAGGAGACCATACATCCAACCAAAATGGGAAAATTAAGGTAATATATAACATTGTTGTTTTGTTGGCAGGAGATGCATTTGTTGGAGGATTCCTTTCACAATTTGTTCAGGAGAAGGCCATAGAAGAATGTATCAGAGCTGGATGTTACGCAGCAAGTGTTATCATGCAAAGTTGTGGGTGTAAATTCCCAGAGAAGCCTGATTTTAACTGAATAATCCTTACTCCCCATTCTGCGAAGGCTCTGATTGTCGACCACTGAGAAGCCACTGCTGTATTTTAATTTATAGTTGCATTCGTAGTCATGGAATTAAAGGGCTATCATTAGCATGGCTCTTGCCTCTTGGGGTTGAGATTTTTGAGCCGTTGGCCAGGGAATATAGTTGCAGAGAGTAGCTGATGTAATGTAAGGTAGTCCAGGGAAGAAGATTGGAGTAGGTGAGATGATATCAAACAAGGGAAAGAATTGTAATGTCACATGACTGCAATAATTTTCAGCGAGAGATTTGGACCTCCCAGCTGGTAGCGTGGACCCTTCTGACTAGCATTTAGTTGGATGTTTGGTCATCCTTTCTCGGACTTGACATTATCTAACAGGATCTTCTTTTGTTTTTTTTTTTTTTTTTAAAGCTTGTTCTAAAATCTAAACTTCTTATTTTTCTTATCAATCATCAACTTTAACTGCAAATCAGGTTATATAATCCCCCCCCCCGGGCAACAAAGAGTGTAATTACTTGACACCATCTAGATCTCATCCTAAGGTGATATAAGAATTATTTTAATTATGTCAGTCTTTTTCCTGGCAGAATTAACCATGTTAGGGAGCACATTCTATGCTCATATAAAAAAAATATATATCATGGCATTATCTCCTGAGGTTTCTAATACAGATTGTAATACTCTAAATTTTAATTTTTTTACTTATTAAATTATATATAAAAGGAGAGACAATTTGATATTTCATGATGATAAAACGGTAAAATTTTAAATTTTTTATGATTTATTTTAAAAAAAATTAAAACTCTGCAATTTTAATTTTTTAAAATTCCTAAAGAATACATAATTTCGTCATTTCAACCCGTGTTACATCAAAATGGCTCTCAATTGTTTTAGATTATATTGATAAAAAGAAATAAAAAAATTTAAAAGTCAAAGCATTTAAAAAATTATTAGAGTAGAGTATTAGAGGTCCAAGTCCATCTCTCTGTTTTTTTGTTAGCACATCCTTTACTTTTGGTGAAAATAAAACTATGCCAACATTTTGTAGTCTTTTTCGATGGAATGAGGAGAGGCTTAATACAGAATTACATGGGCGCGCGATACGGGTGAGTTGCAAATTTATGCAAAATAAAATAAATGTCTATAAACTCTTTTTTGTGAAAAATGTATTTTAACTTTATTAGAATATCATTAGAGCTAGTAGGACCCAAAATAAATATCTATTGTTTGGCATTAAATTATTATTCATTGAAATATGACAGAAATTTCTCAAGAGATTAATCTTATAATTGTCAGTCATAAGATATCTTGAATTATAAGAAAAAATATGATAGGAATATATAGTGGCATGATACATATAAGATAATGCAATTCTGAATTAAATCATATACTTTCCCTCTCATATTACAGTTTTTGTTGAAAAATTTAATGTCAAGAGTATGGGAAAAGAATCAAAGATTAAAAGGAGAAACATGACCTCGATTTAAGTCTTCGTTCGTACGAATTTGTTTGATATAAAAACAAAAAAATGAGAAGTTAGATGAAAATAAGGAAAAAAAGATAATAAAATTATTTTAAAAGATATAAATAATAATTTAATTAAAATATTATAATTTTTTTAAAATCTCTAAGAATTTTTCTATCGATACTAAAATCATATAAATTATTAAATTACTCTTGTTGAAAATAAATAATTCATAAATTTTATTTAAATATTCATAATTTTTTTTTATATTTGCAATAATATAACAGCAATTCGTAACTTCGTATGTTAAATTTCTTATTTGTTATTATATTATTGCGAATATAAAAAAAATTATGAATATTTAAAAGGTGTGAATAATTTATTTTCAACAAAGATAATTTAATAATTTATATAAATTTATTTTTATTATTAATAAATTTATATAAATTATGTATTTTGAGATTTAGAGATCTAAATTCATTAATGAATTTATCATTCTTGAAATCTCTAAATTATGACATTTTAGGAAAATTTAACCATAAATTTATTAAAAATTTTAAAAAAATTATGATATTTTGAAAGATTAAATTATTATTTATATATTTTAAAAAAATTATTATCATTTTTTTATGAAAAATAACACCCTCATCCTGATAAAAATAAAAATTAATTCACAATTACAATAAAAATATATTATTAAATACTATTACTTAAAAGATCTCCGTCACATATACGTACACTCGTTAATAGCCTTTTTTCCCCCCAGGCAACCGAGAGAAAGTACGGTGCTGAAATATCTTCAGGGGATTGGCCCACAAAGATTTTTTTACAAAATGGGAGCTCCGGAGGTATGACGCGATAGCCCGATAATTTGTGGAATAATTCGGTTTCCAGTTTCCAGTTTCCAGTTTCAACCCGCTTAATGAATCACAAATCTTATCCCGAACCGTCCAACAATATCGCCCCGCGCGTCCATTTCACGATATGCTTCAACGCGTGAAGACCTCCTTCTCTTACCTGGAAGTTCACAGCTGCAAAGCCACATAGCTTTCTCCACCGACGAAAACCGCGAATCGAAAAAAGCACCTCGACCCAACATCCGCGATTTCGAAGGCAGCAGACAATCGCAGAACCGCCATGAACCATCATCCTCGGTTGCAGAACCTGCGATCGACTGCCCAACTCCTCAGAGAAGCTGCCTCTTCTTTCTCTTCCAATATCGTCACCTTTCTTTTACTTTCTCTTCTCATCTTATCCTTCCGTACCGTCGTTGAGAACGGCACTGCCCATGTCACCTCTTTCATTGACCGCGATCCCTCCCTCAAAGCCCTCCTTTCTCGCCTTGAACTCGCCGGCAACACCGACTCCCGCCGCTTCCGATCTCCCGACGATCCTTCGTCTGCCGCCTTTCGCCGCCATCGCCGTCGCCCTTTTCTTCATCTCACTCGTGTCGGAACTCTAGACGATGACTTCTTTTCCAGCGACGATGACGATGGTCGCTCCTTATTCGGGCCCAACAAGAAAGCGTCTGTCAATGGCAGTTTTGTGGTTTTTGGCTCGTTTAACTTGAAATCAGGGTTCTCGGATCTTGTTATCGATAATGGAATTAGGGTTTCGGAAGTGGTTCGCTCTGGAATCACCTTCAAAGAAGAAGGTTTATCATTTGCTGATGATAAAGATATCGATAACGACAAAGAAGCTGAAAATGAAAAGGTTGAATTGGGAACTGGTCAGGAAGTAGATAGAGCTGTCGATTTGCAGTTCTTTATAAAGGGATTAGAAATTGGTCGTCGTGATGCTGCGGCGCTGTTTTTTCTTGTGAGTTTTCTGTCTGCAGCTTACGGGTGGGTGATTTTAGTTTTTCTTGTTACATATTCATGGGTTTTGGGCATCGTTTTCATTGCTGTTGTTAACGATCTATTGGGGAGGTTTGGTTCGATTGCTGGTATGATTTGGGATGGTACCAGATTGGGACTCAAGAGGCTTTCGGGGTTCATTCTGATGAGGTGGGCCGTTAGGGACGCCTTGACTCAGCTTCTTGGACTCTGGTACTTCGGTGAAATCGAAGATCAGTATTCTTTTTTCAAGCTGTTTGTTAGATTGAAATTGATGCCATTCTCAGTTATGTCTCCGTGGATTAGAGGGTTTGAGAATGAGATTTCCGGGTTCTTGTTTACTTGGTTTCTACTGATACGTTTGTGGCATTCATATTTTCTGTAGATGCCTGGGTTTCTATAGTGGACTCTAGGAGGAGTGGGAGAGAAATTGTGAAGGAAGGTTGTTATTTGATATCTACAATGTTGAACCAAGCTATACAAATTAAATGCTTGGAAGCTATATGTTGTGGATCATTTGTGAGATGGGTTTTAGCCCGAGCTTGTGGAAGATCTTTTGCCAAGATGTTTCAGGCAACGATGGAGGTATACTTCATGGTTGCTTGGCTGATGTTTTACTTTGCGGCCAGGTGTAAGGATGCCAGTCTACAGGGTAGGAGGTTTGGGCAGAGAGAGTTGGAAGGCTTGCTTGAAGGTCATAGATGATACGTGGTGGTGACTGGATCACGATTTTTCTTGCTGGCTTTAACTGCACTTAATTTGCTGCGATGTTTCGCTGGTTAATGTTTCTTGCTTTTGCAGCTTTGTCGATCATCATTGCCAGTATGTAATTTTGTCACCAGCAATGTAGTTTATGTACTTTACAAGGAGGCCAACATACTGGCTGTGTATATTCTGAACGAGAATACATCATGTGTATATTATTCATGCAATGATTTAATTGGTTCAACCAATTCTTGTTGGTGATGATTGTAAATCATGCTTTTTGAAATGAGAGAATGTAATTCTCAATATCAATGTGGCAAGGAGTTATGTTATAACTGCCACTGTAGCCTCATCCTCACAGGACTGTTTGGTGTTATGTTCTATGTTAATTGGGACAAGTTATGGCAAATGTGGATTTAGTCTGCAGCCGCTAGAATGGGAAAAAGCACATTAATCTGCATGTGTTGTGGGTTACGCATTTTCGTTCAAAAATATGGACTGCGGAGCTGGTTCAGACTAAATGACATTTGTTATACATGATCACTTCCCTGCTGCCTAGATTGATTTGCCTTCCAGACAGACTTATTTTGCATTGGCGGGAGTCCGGAGTGAGTAATGCAAGGTTTTGGCTGAAAGAAAACATTTAGGCCGATTTTATGTTTGTTGATGAGCAATACGTTTGATTCCCCGAGTCTAATCTTCACTGGTCAGAGATGACATCTATTTCTTTTCTTCAGATTACTAATTTTGGAAAAATGGTTGATTTGACGGCGGCTTGGCTCTCTAATTCGTTATTCTTTTTCTAGGGCTGAGGAAAGTTTATCGCTTTGCTTGTATGTCGTCTCAAAGCGTTCTGGTCTTCTGGAGGAGTTCGGTGACCACTGATCAAGATGCAAATAATCTGTTTACGGATGAATCTATCACAATCAAATCTAAACTGAATGTTAGTTGAGTACTTGAGTTTGACTACGGTTAAATAGCCTTCAAAAGCATAATCAAATTAAACATAAATCTAACCAACAGCTTTAATTCTAGTGAGAAGGGTGATAACTTATAAGTGCATAAATATTAGTTCTTAGATTTAAGTCTCTGTAAATGGAGAAAAATATTGGAGGTTATCTTCTGGGCTACAAAATTAATCCAATCTACTTCAGTAGTTTTAGATATCATTTGGTAATTGAAATACTATGATGTCGGATTATTTCTAGCTCCCTTCAAAGTCAAGTGACGATCCTCTACCTATGGATTCAAGGATACAAAAAATTGTACGCCCTGTCATCGGCTTTTTTGCTCTCTGTAGTGTCGTCGTCTGGAATACACTCAAGACTCCTCAACTGCCATATGCTCCTTCCGATGTTGTAGGAACTCCCAACATTTCATCTCCGGATGGAGTGTTCTGTTGATCTGGCGAGATCAGAAGTTATTCAAATTATTCCGTGTTTCTACACTTGATGTTAACCAAAAGGCCGTGAAAGGTAATTTTTTTTCATTCTTTCTTCCCCAACAGTCACCGCCGATCTGGACTTGCATGTAAACTTCTCTCATAGATCTATTGCTGCCCTGGCCTCTGCCACGGGAACAGTATATTTTAATTGCATATTTGACTGGTTCAATTTTTTGGACAAACGCAATATTTATCATATCGATCTTAAGCACGTCAAAGTGCGTCAAGCCAATGATATATTTCGTCATTAATATGCCAATGCGAACGTTTTTAGTGCTACTTCAGTATCTATTTGTTGGCTCTAAAGAACTGGTTTCTTTGGTCATCAATGTGCAACCCTTCTGTATATATAGATCTTATTCTGATTTACACAAGTGAGCTAAATCACACTTGTGCCTACATCTACTCACAACATATTATGGCTACATATGACAGATCAGCATACTTGTTAGGAAGAAAATGGCCGTAATTAATATCTCGACGTCTGATTTCTCAAAAACAAAGACACGCTTCTTTGTTCTTCGGAGAGCTAGCACAGCGAAGGACACTGAGGAAAAGATGCTCGTCGCAGGGAATGCAAAGTTTTGAATATGAAACAAAATCGTACTCTTCCCGAGCTTGATCCAGCAATGCTTTGAAGAGTGGGTGGCTGAGTAACGTGACCTTAATTACAAATCTCTTGAAATTCTCCCCTACATAGACAACAAGGTGCCCCTTTGGGACATCACTAGGGATTGATCTTCTTTCATGCACGGACGACCATAAAGCCCATTTACAGCAACACTCACAGGCACAACAAGGTATGACTCGACTCTTCATTTTCTTCCACTTGTTAAGGCACACTCTCAGAAACTCTCTCTTCATAGTTATTGGGTGTGTGCCGTGAGAGAAGAGATAGGGGGAGATAGGGGGAGAGAGATAAGTGCTGTGAACACTATGAAACTGAAAAGGTATATATAATTGTGGCACACGGGATGTAGGACTGCTGGGGAGTATTAAGTGGTTGGCAGGCGTGATAAATAATTTATGCTAATACAAATGAGAGGATTTGATTTTGAAATGATATTCTATTAAAGAGTGTTTGTTAGTACAGATAGTTGCGGGCCTCCTTCGTTAGTCATTTAGGGCAATGCATCTTGATACGAAACTGTACGAACATGCATCGGAATGATTTCACACGTTATCGATAAATTAATATATCTCCTAAGCAAGAACTCTGTCTTTCTCTGTAATTCTTGAAGGGTAGTACCAGCACTTGCTCATCGATATTTGGAGGTTCAAAAAGTTAAGGTCCCACAAGTTGGAGGGGGAGAAGATAAGGAAGGATATGAAAGAGGGATGGGATAGTCTCTTGGGTGTAGTGCGAACCGGCTTATTTCATAATATACATCAGGATAAATATTACAAGCTCTAATTCAATCTGATAAGAGCTTTAGCTTTTGTGACTCGTAATCTTTCAACATCTTGTATTGTCAAACGTTAAACGACAGTGAGATCAATTGATTTGATTAGGAAGTGGGTCAAATATTGAAAGTGGGATTGATCACATTTTGGATAATGAAGGGGGATGAATCAATAATCACTTTTAATAGGCATTAGTGTGCGTGCGTGTGTTAAGCAGCTCAAGTTTTCTTGGCCTGCATTGTGAATTGTTTCTCACTACTTGCATAAAATAAATTAGTGGATGTCGGCCGCAGCATTAATTTTTTTAAGGTGGACTAGTGGTGCACTACCGTACATTAGTATTTCTTATTCAATCTTGTAGCAGCAACATCATGCATGTGGATTTAAGATATGCTTTACGGCTTATCTAGAAGGTGATATCAGGCATGCAGGAAATGGGCTATGCAAAGCAAAAAGGATGGAAGAAAAAATAAAGTATTTTGGCTGCAGAGAGGAAGAAAAAGAAGTCACAGTTCTTCTTAGCAGCAGAAACATTTGACCCTCAATTAACGTGTCATCCTTTTGATTTGAATACATTCCTCCCTTAACTAATGAAACTTGACCGTAAATTTCGGTCTGTTAAAACTTAGAATTTCAATCATGGACATGGAGCGCCATTACAGGTGCTTCAGATATCATGTGGGACTAGCTATAAGATAATTTACCTGTATTTCCTATATAACTGGAAACTTAATTTATCTTGAGACCCTAAAAAGGGTTCAGGAATTGAAATGAAGAAGTTGAAGGATAGGGTTTGAGGTGCCCTTTTGTGGTGGTCTGATTTCTGATCATGCTTGCTTAGATGGGGCAGAAATGATTGAGAGCCAGCACATTGTTCATTCCCTCTGTGAGACGAAAGTGCGCTGTGCTGTGCTGGGTTGGTTGAATAGAATAGCACGTCCTCTTTGTCGAATCAGATGCAGTGAAGTAAACTGTGAACAGTTTGTCCATCTCATAGAGAGTAAATAATGTTGTTGGCTTGTAGCAGCAGAGAGATTTTTCATTTTAGCTTATGTGACGAATAGAGGACCAAGCATTGAAGGCGGATGAGTTAGTATGTGCAGAGAACGCGTGAGAGAGCACATGACTGGAGGAAGACGATAGTGGAGTGTCAAGTGTCCCAGTGTGAGAGGCAGGGGCTGAGAGAGATGGCTGTTTGACACCTCAAGGTGCAGAGATGCTTATGTTCGTACAGTTGAAAGCGTTGTAATTTGATTTGACTTGGGTTGGGTTAGGCTAACCCATCACCTGCTTCCACGTGCATATCTGTGTTACAGTGAGCTGGCATGCCACTCCCATCGTCAATTCTCTTTCTTTTTGGAGCCCGATCTTCTGATCAGTGACATCCCCATTCCCCACCATATCCCTCCATTAATTTCTCTCCATGCCTTCTACGGGGAACCCAAGCCAGCTTTCGCTTCCTCTTCCAAACTTGGATACTCTGTCACTTTAAACATATTCATGTGTGTACTTTTGGCTTGGGCGTACGTTTTCGTTGGAAACTGTAGCCAGTTTTGTTTGTAAAATATCTTTAACGGGCATAAATAAGAAAAATTATATATATATATATATATATAAAGTGTCTTGTTGGATGATAATGCCTGTGATATAAAATCATGTTAAAATATTTGTTATTGATTTTAAAATTATAAAAATATTTTTTTACATGGGGAAATGAGAAAAAAATCTCCTAAAATATGTAAATGATAATTAAATCTTATAAAACATAATAATTCTTCTCAAGTTCTTTAAAACTTTTCTAACATTAATGTCATTTGCGAAATGACTATAATGCCCCTAACTTTAAATAAAAAAAAAGAAACGTATATTGACTATTTTAATTTTGAGTAATAACTTTTTTTTTTGTTAATGACTACAATGGGAAAGCAAATAATAAGTTTCACTTTGCAATTTTTTTTTAATGCTAAAGTCTAAGTTTTGTGAATATTAGTGATTCTTTTAATTTAAGTAATGATTATTTTTTTTAACAATGACTAAAACGAGAAAAGTAATTATAACTTTCCTTTTACAAAATTTTTAATGACTGAAATTCAAGTTTGATTTAAATAATAATTACTTTTCTTTTAACAATAATCAAAATGAAATGGAAAATGACAAATTTTTGATATGCCTATTTTTTTATTTTAAATTGAGAGTATTATATTTTTTTACAAAAGACATTAATGTCAAAAAAAATTTTAAGGGACTTGAGAAAAATTATCAAATTGCAGGAGATCTCATTGTTATTTGTATATTTCAAGTAATTTTCCTGTCATTTTTCCTTTTGACATCCATTTAATCTATTTAATTAAAAAATAGTTAAACATTACATTATAAGGGTATCTTTTTATTATTCTGTGTTTCTTTGTTTTAATTATTTTATGTCCACTAAATCCAATTGCCTCAATAAGCCGCCTTGTAAGCCCATATTTGTTCAAGAATAGGAGGCTGACATGGGCTACGTTGTGAGGCCTGTTTGGATTTTGGGCCACGAGCTAAAAGTGGGGTAGTTAATTACTTAATTTCACTTATTCTACTGGAAGGGCTAGTACTAAATTCTTTATACATGTATGTGTATGTAACTGGACTGCTGCCCTCTTTTCTACTAAAAAAGTTACTGCACTTTACTCAAAATTTATTATAAATCTATATATAAGGACGTAAAACATGAAAAAAAAAAAAAGAAAGTATAGAAACATGGAAACAAAAAAAAATTGTAATAAAACTCAAACAAAATAGAAGGATTCAAAATTATGTTTTTCTATTAAAAAAACAATTAGCTTATTGATACAGGTTAATCCTTGATAAGTAAATGTATACTCTGTATTACTTGAATTGATAGGCACTACTCAAATAGAAACGTTGCCTTTAAAATACGAAAAAGAAACAGACGGAAGATTGAAAGGAGTTTTGAAGAGCCAGTTAGATTAGAAACGCGTGCTGTAAAAGATGCTTGCTAGCAAACTCCCACTCTATGATTTGACCTCGTGAAGCATTATCAATTCTTTATGTGATCCACTAATAAAGATGGTACTATCCTTCTCCATCCTTATCTTGGACGAAGATTTGTCTTCAGCGTGATTGCACGAGCGTGAAATAATTAATCTTAGTGAACTTGCATGAAAACCCACTTTCTCTGTTTGAAATAAAAAGAGCCGGTTCTCCATATATAGCATATACTGAGATTCGTTTGCATAGATAGAAAGCAGAGGAGATGAACTTCTTCAAAATGAAGCTCCTAGTTTTATTAGTCGCTATCATAATTGTGAGCTTCAGCTTGGGAGACTCGACCACGTCGGGCCTGGGTGGTATGTTCGGGAAGGAGCAGCGATTCCACGGTGGAGGGGGAAAGGTGATAGAGGGCACTGAAAAACAGAGCATCAATATCAACTCCCCTGAAAGCACCACTCAAATGGTTCGACAGAGCTTCCACAAGAGGGCTGGCACTTCTCGAGAAGATGACGATGTGAAGTTACAACATATTGATGGCCGTGCTTGAGAGATTGTATATTCTGATAGTAGAGATGGCAGATGATATGAGTTTGCTGAAAATAATGTCGCCTGCGGTTTGTTCTGAAGTTATGAAATGTGTGACTCGATAAGTAATAACTTCTTGTTTGATGGAATAATAACATCTAGGTTTATGCCGTACATAAATAGCACGTTTGGGGAGCACTTTCGGTGCTCAACGGGGGTGATCACTTCTGAAATAATCTAAGACTATTCATATTTAATTTCGACAATTTGTGTTTAAGCACTTTTTTTGTATTTTTTAAAATACAAATTTATAAAATTTTGAATAAATATGTTAATTGTCAATATGTACAGTTCATATTTAATCAAATTGATTCAAATTTAATATAAAATTGATAATATTTTTTATAAATTAATTATACAGATTTATTTTTTATTGTTCAGATTCAAAACTTTTAACTTATTCTACCATCAAATTTAAAATAATTCAAAAAAATTTGTATGGTTAATTTATAAAAATTGTAAAAAATAATATTAAATTTAGACTAATCTAATTAAATGCAAATTGTATATATTGATCATTAATAAATTTATTAAATTTTATAAATTCTTTTATTTTATAAAAAAAAATGTACTTGAATGTGAATCGTCTAAATTATTTGAGGGATGATAAGCGTCAAATGTGTTCGCACACGCTTGGCATACGATACAAAGGTGCAGCTATATGATGAGACATGAGGCTCCTGGTTCCATTTGTTTGAATGACGGGTCCCTGTAAAATACCTTCAAGTTGTTACGTTGTAAACTTCGCTTTATGGATTCTCCTACTAACATGGACTGATATACTAGGGTTCACTTTTATCTTCCCTACGCGAGAAATAACCGAAACCTTCCTCCCACTTTCATGATATCTTCTAAATTATTGCTAAAGTATTTTCAGATTCTGTACTAATATCGTAATCGAAATATTTAACATTTAATGCACTTCGCACTTGTATATAGTCATCAATTTTGTGTACTCGCTGTGCTGTTTAACAGGAGGACAGAATAACCTTGTCACGCTCGCCGGGGGTGGGGTGGGGAGGGGGGATGGGGACTTAATGACAATGACTCGGGCTTTTTCCAAATCACACAGCTGATCTGACATGTTCAACTACGATCTACACGACGTTGAAGCCTCCAGTTCTACTACCCACAATTTATCCATGACGAGATTAGGGGTGGTTGTTACAGATCGGGAATGACTTGGTTTTGTTTCTCCCAAAACAGAGTACTATAGTACGGGTGGCAGCAAGTATCAGTGACAAGTACTCGAGCTTGGATACACTTCGTCTATACACAAACACAGATTACTAATATTCAAATACACTTCTTCCTACGTACATTTCTTTTGCTAGGACCACATTTAGTTTGAATTGGAAGGGCAGAGGAACCAACTTGGCCAGCAGATGATTCCTTTGAGTAACGCTCCCTCGGGTATGGATGAATTTTAGCCAGTTCACGAACTCGGCGAAGTACAGTACTTGGCAACGAACGCAAGGCATGCTGCTGCTTTTGTTCAGTCTGCAATACCATGATTAACAATAAACTCACTGACATTATATCAGTTTTCAAATAAATTTTGACCAAGGATACAATCTTCCACGCCAATAAGTTCAATTAGATACTTCCTCACATGATCAAAACCATGTTATCAACACCCCCCCCGGAAAAAAAAAAAAAAACACCACGGAAAATCAATGAACGGTTAACCTCTTTGTTGTTAAATTTCTGTGCTGAACTGGCTCTTAAAAGATTCCGCCACTTGTCCTGCAGAAATTACAAGTAGGTTTTAATCATGGAAGAAAGGGTGACAACTGAATGAGTGAATCTTTGCAAATACCCTGAGATCTATCGGTGTACGGTAACTGGAGGAAGAAAACAGAAGACGCTTTATATCAGTCCATCGCCCAACTCCATGTTCAGAAATACCATCAACCAACTTGATCACTTCAGATAAAGTCCACATTCTTTGATGCTTCCTCCGATCATTTTTATTATATCTTTTTGGCGTCACGCATTCATCCTCAGACTCCGATGCAGACTCTTCATACTCAAGCTCCTAAGAAAGAAATCGACCTCATCAAAAAGGGGCCAATGATTTAGAATTGCCAGTCATTAGCTATGGATATCGGGCAATAGCATCAATATGCAGCTATCTCCTCAAGATATAGAATGGTGACACTTATACAGACGTTGATCTCATATCTTGTTAATTTAAATGCATAACTCAATTACAGGAACCACTTTGTCACAAAGGTCATACCACAAAACGACAAAAAGGTCTGCCCAAGAATATCACAGTTTATGAATCGTTAATGAGAATCTAAATGCAATAATCTACTGAGACACAAGGTGCAGAGGCAAGCAGATAGTACAATGAAGAAAGTTTGCGTCCAAGAACACAGGTCAAAATCAATACCTCACTTTTCAGACATTGCTTGTGATCCTGCAACTCAGGAAGCGCCATATCACTTGTTTGACTTCCAGAATTCTTGCATGGAATGTGTCTCAATGCTCTAAACCTTACATGACGAAGCTTGTGATGTGATGTCAAACTAGAGTGTTTATTTTTGGTTGCAGAATTCAAAGCCTTTTCTTTTGACCTTAAATTTGAAAATTCTTCAATATACCTCAGAGTAGGCTTACGGCATCTCTTCTCTCTAACTGCAGTAATTTGACATTCGTCCACAGAACCCTTTTTCTTCTTGCAAGACAATATACTATCTGCTAAAGGGGTATCATTATCCAACTCATTTAGATGCTGCATATCAAGTGAATTGCAAGTTCCATCTTCAATGGATGTTTGATAGGAATTGTTCCTGAAGGCACCATGCAAGTCATGGGCAACTCTATCATCTAGAAAATTATTTTTGTATTCTATTTGTTCAATGGCCACTTTCGATGATTCAGATACTCCACCAACACCGTTGCTACTTCCACTTAATCCTGGAGAATGGCTCTCAGAGCTTGAACTTTGTAGTAGTAATTCTCCACAAAGACCCACAGCTTGGTCAGGATATTCAAAATCTATAGTTGAAAATATATTTGTAATGTTAAAATCAGAAAACATAGAGGAGGACTCAGGAATCATAAATAGTTCTATATTCTTCTTTTCATCAAAGAATCATAGCAGAAATCAACATCATAAAAGTTGACAATCTACCCAAAAGATAATCTTCACATGAAAACCCATCTGTCGCATTAAGACCATCAATTTCAACATCATCCAGCAATCCATCAAGTACCTAAAAAATATCTTATTTATCACTGCTTGGCAATAAAAAATTAAAATAAATAATAGAGAGAGAGAGAGAGAGAGCTAGTAGCTTTGATCTCACTCCACCGATAGCTGTAACTAAAGACAAATACCTCAAGTTTCAAATCATGTTTTCCATTCAAAGTTGTATGAGAATCCGATCCACCTGAGAAATATAAATACAGTAGTAAATAAACAGTAAAACTACGCCAAAATCTGAAACTAGCAATTCTCAATATTCTGAGAAAAGAAGACAATATCAATAGACCATCAGCAGCCTTTATTATAAATTATCTAATCAAAATATCAAAATAAAAAAAATGAACTTTCATATCTTTAAAGATGCAACATTTGATTCAAGTTTGTGGTGAGCAGTCTCCTTTATCATTACTCAGTTTGTGATTTCTGTTGCCAGTTTGATCCTTTCAATCCCTCATTACACTTCTGTAGTTATTCCAAATTTTCAGCAACAAAAAGTGAGCCGGTAGCCAAATAATCTTGCCAGCAGATAAGTACACTAAACAAGGGTTCACTTCTCAACATGTAAATAAAATAGATTTACATAACACTTGAGCCATTTTAGATTTACCTATGCTTGTTCTTAGACCAAATTCAAATCCATGGGAAAGATTTTCGACAGCACATCTGCCTACACTCTCCTCATGAAAATACAAAATACCATCCACTGAAACATGATCGTTTCTAGGTTCTGCAAGCAAATGTTCAACTTCCATCGATTCGTCTTGAATAGCAGGAACCAATGATCCATCTACTTGAACCTAGCAAAGTATACAACAAAGATATCATGAATTATAAGCCTTTACATATATCAAAAGATTTTTATAACATATGCTAGAGGAAATAGCAGATTACTGAAGAAATGATGCTCATGTGTACACATAAATTCAAGCATAACAGTCTTTTTAAAAAAAAAAAAAAGGCCCGAAAGATAGATGCCATATATGAATCAGTATGGGCCACGGACATATATGCTTGGGTGTTATTTTCTAATAAATTGAACAAACTTCTAATAGGTTAAGCAACAATGACAATCATTTGCCTTCATAAGCCCACATAAGAACATAACACTGCAAAGCTTAAAAACCCAGCATTTAGCATAAATGAACTCTAGATGCCAGGATTTAAGAGTTTTCCAAGAATGGATTGAATTATAATAACTACAACTGTTAGTTCACATAATCTCTTGAAATACTCTACTGCTGTCAAAAATAGACAGAGAATGGCATCAGGTAGATAGATAGTTTGCCAGAGGCTGCAATTTGGGGGAGAATGTCAAACAGTTGTGCCTAAGATACAACAACAACAACAACAACAAGCCTTTATCCCACTAGGTGGGATCGGCTACATGGATTGCAAGACGCCATTGTGTCTAAGATATAATGTAGAAATTCTGTATGCTTGAAGAATAAAGAAATTTACAATAATGACAAAATCCTTACCCTTTGGCATTTCATATTGGAACACTTCTGTAAGTATTCTTCAGGATCCATCTCATGTTCTGTTGTGCATCCTAGAAGTTCATTGAACACCAATTTACTATTTTCCCCCTACTCAGAAGAAATATGCATTAATAAATTAAATGCATTTAGATGTGTACTTTTATTATGCATGTAACATCTTTTTCCCTCGTAAAATACTCGTACATATCTAGAGCTGTAAGGCTTCGACCTAATTTGGACATGGGAAATCTAGGACAGTCCTACTGTTCCCGTAAAAGTAAATCACATGCATATCTGCGTCCAAAGATTTAATCAGGGTGCATAAGGAAGCCAAATCTAGTTAATCTGAAATATTTAATAGACACAATAAATTATGGTTATAGTGAGTTAAAATTTAAAACTATATGCAGTCAACACAGATTTTGATTCTGACTTGACACAGCAAACTCGTCTTTAAGAGTTAAAATGTGAATTACATGGGAGTTCATTACCACTAGTTCCAGACTTTGTCAGTTTTACTGTAAAGCTTATTAAAATTTCTCAGTTGAATTTCCTTTTACTGTTTGCCTTATCTAAAGTTATCTGTTCTTTTTCAATGGTATATCATACACAACCATTGATATGTTTCAAGCAGTCGGTTTCTTACCCATCAACCTCTTGACTAGTTGGTTGAATAGGCTCAAAATCTGCACCTAACAACTTCCAATTTTAAACAGCATTACAAGAACAGGATACTATAAGTTAAGACTTTCAGGTATTACCAAAAATTTGTCAAGAAAATAGAATGACAAAGATTTGGATCAGCACAAGACAACCTTCGAAGTTCGAAGGCCGTATACTTTGCCTAAAACAACCCAATTCCATCAACGATTTCTTCGGAAGACAGCCGACGAGGAAAAACAAAAGGATAGCGAATAGATAAGTAACTATCGGCCCTGCGAGCACCTAAGCGCATGCACAGTAAGCAGCGAAAGGAGAGGAATATTTACAACTTTCATTTTCTCCTCAGTTTCTCAGCACCCAGACAGGGTAGAAAGAGGGTGAAAAGTTATAAACAAGGACAAAATGAAGCAACGAAAGTCCAGCCTCATTCATCAAAGCTAGCAAGCTCAAACTACCCAGCAGAGAAGAAACAGAGATTATCAAGATCAAGCAAAAAGGAGAGAAAATATCTAACCTTGGAGGGAGTACGAGAGCAAGAACACGAGAGGAAGAGAGAAAGCGAAAATGAGAAGGGGAAGAGGGGTGTCAGGGAAATTCGAGCGAATGTTCGAAACTGAAAAGCCTCAAACCGCGAAAGAGTGACACGAAACTGAAGGATAGAGGGAAATGGCGGATGCGCCTTTTTTATTCGACGGAATCCAAAAGGTTTTATGACAGAGGTTGTAATAAAATGTGCGTTTCAAGTCCGCTGAAACTGGACACGTGGATTTGGTTGTCGTCGCTTTTAACGTTGTCTAACGGCGTTCAAGGGGGTTTCGGTGTTTCGCATCTCGATCTCATGACATCAACTGCTCGACTGTAATGCAACAAACTACTTCCAGACTTCGGGCTCATAATTTAATTACCGGGGGCCACTCCACTCTATTTTTCTGTTGAGGATCATTATGAGTTTTTTTCCTTTCTTTTTTCCTCAAGATGATAGTCTCATGATGTTTTTAACTTTTAGAGCTAGGCATTATACCGTACTGGTATTATTGATTATTGGTATTTATTGTATTCATCAGACAACTGGTCCATTTAATTTGTGAGCATCTCTCTTCATCCTCTACATTTCACCGAGTAAGAAAGTCTTGATTCATCCAACATGTTATTTCATCTTTTAAAAAAAAAAAAAAGATATTTTCTTTATATTAGATGTTCAAGAATACTCTCATTCTGTCATTCATTGCAAAGTTCTTTCAACTATTTTATTACGATTAAAAATAACAATTAACTCATTAAATATATCTTATAATAAAAAATTCTAATTTTAACCCTATTAAAAATAAAAAGAGATAGATGCACAATGTAAGATGAACGATAAAATTAAATTTATGGCAAGAGTAGAATTAGATAATAGTAATAAATAATTCTCTATATGTTTTATATTATTGATTAAATAATTCTTCTAGAAGATGACCAATGATAAGATAGAAGGGAGTGTAAGGTGTTCTTAGTTTTTTAATATATAATTAATAAATTTTTTAAGAATACCTTTAATAAATGAATCACTCAATTATTAACATCAAAGTATGATATCTTATTAAATAAAGACAATTGTGAAAAAATTATGTCAATTTAAAGGCAATAACTAATTTATTAAAAGTGTAATTTAATTAAAAATATTTTATATTTTTTAACGAAGGAAATACTTTCTTTAGACTTTAATTATATTTATAAATCACTCTCAAAAATTTTACTGGAACAGAAGAAATTTTAAACCTCATTTACCCTATCTAAAATTTAAAGTTTCTAACCTTCCTTTTATTTTATATATATATATATATATATTTTAAAAAAATAAAATACCCTAGCATTTAATAACCGATAGAAGTAGAAGGGTAAAAATAAATACGATAATCATTGAAGTGTTATATAAATATGTCTGTAATAAATACTCTCTCTCTATAAATAAGATCAAAGGAGTGATCATCTACCTTTTCAAATTATTTTCAATTAAAACTATCACTTCTATCAATAAATATTAGTGTAATTGATAAAAATTTGACATATAACTTATAAAATTATAGATTCAAATCTCATTGTTAATATAATAATCTTATCAATGACTAAGTTATGAAGCCAAAGTTCAGATATTAAATTTTTACTAGGCCTCAAATTTATGAAAACCAATGTAGACCAAGTTAAAGATGAAGAACTAAATTTTGATGAGTTAAGATCATAGCGTTGAAATAATTAACTTATCTTATATTCAAAACAAGAGGAAGAGCACATGCCTGAGGTTGGCAGACTAGAATGAGAGCATTGAACTAGGATGAAATTGTAGTAACTAGCTTTTTTAACTCAACTTTACCATATAAATAGACGTTTAAGATTATGTGTGATTTGAGGGAGGGGGATGGGATGGCGGGGAGGGGAGGGAAGAATTTTAATGCTACCTTATTTGGTTTTGTCAAGAGAGAGAAAGGAGAGAGATTTTAATTATCTCTTATTTGATTTAAAAGGGGAGTGGAGGGGAGATATTAACTAATTAACCATTACATTATTATATCTAAGTTTTTTTTTAATTATTCCTCATGTAAATTAATTCTATACCTTGACCCAAATTGCAAGGTTAATATGATTTTGCATCTTAAAACTTTGTCAATAATCATGTAAAATCTACATAGCTTTAAAAAAAAAACACTCAGAACAGAATTATTTTATTTTTAATTCTTAAATTAATTTTAATATTTTAATATTTCTTAAAACACGGAGGAAATGTTGTTCATTCTAACATTCACACGTCAGTCTCTCCCCTACAGGCCTTCACAGCGCGAGAAAGCACGCAGGAGTTTTGGATGATTTATGGCTCTCCATCTCAGCCTTGTGCGCAATACAGTGAGGTCCATGGGAAAGTTGACTTGTGCACCAAAAAATAAGGTCCACGGGTGAGTCGACCTGAAAGAAGAAGAAGAAAAGCTTGGCGACTCAGTCTAGAATAAGAAGGGTAACAAGTGAAAGAGTAATTTTCATATTTCGATATGCTTAAAATATTAATAATAAATAAAAAATAAAACAGCCATAAATTTTGACTCCCTTTCACAAAAAAACCTCAATTTAGAGGGTGCTAGAATGAGAAGAGGGGAAGGTAGGGGCCTCCAAAACTTTTGAATCAAGTGAGTGGAGGAGAGCCATTTCCCTCCCCCTCCCTTTTAAACACTATTAATTAAATAAACCCTTAATTTCAACTTGCCTTCCAGCGTGGCTTTCATTTGGTGTCAAAACGGCTAATGTTAATGGCTATAGCAACTGTCGTGCATCCTTGAAGCTTCCCACTCACATATGATCTTTCTGTTTATTTCACTATCCCAAATATCCAGTTTTCTTTTCTATTCTTGGCTTTTTTATTAAGCTCACAAATATATACATACGTGGCATGAAACTTGGCTTTGCGATATTGCGATTAGTTAACAATGAGCGAAGTGCCTTCTTCCTGTCCTCGTTGTTGGAAATGTATTATACTCATTGTTTTTAAAATCAGATCGGACCGGCCGGTCCGACCGGTGAACCGGTGACTCGGCCATGTGTCTGGTTTGATTTTTTTTTATTGTGTTTTAGGATTAACCCGCCCAACCCCTCGGTTCAGGCGGGTTGGGCGGGTTGAAATTAAAAAAAAAAAACTTAATAATGATTAACCAAGATGCATATTTATTTTTGACATGATAATGATTAATGATAGGTCAATAGGAGTCATAGGGTAAAAAAATATACTTATGCCAGATGAGGGGACGGAAGAAGTAAAAAAAAATCAAAAAGTATAAATATATATTATATTATATTATTTTTTAATTTGAATTATTTAATTAAATAATTTTTAAAATATATCACTTTCATTTATTATCTTTTATTTTAAAATAAATTTTTATTTCTATTATTTTAACTCATTGAAATTTTTTTATCATTTAGTTAACCTTATTTTAAAAAAATATAGAAATGTTGTTATACTTTATTATTGTTAGAATTATTGTTATATGTTATATGAGATATTAAGACTTGGATATGTATGAACGTATTGAGAATTAATACATTTTTTATTTAAATTATATTATTTTATTATGATCGGTTTGACTCCGGTTTGACCCCCGATTGAACTCATGACATCAAACCCCTGAGTTTGATCGGTTCAATAATCGATTCGATTTTCAGTACCTTGATTATACTTAAATATCTGGAAAACCAAACTCGCGCCCCATGACACAAAAACAATGCCGAGCAGCAGTGCTATCCTCATTAAATGCATATGTACAGGGCCTTCGATGGTAATGCCCAGCTGTAGTAAATACTAAAATCAACCCTGAAGACTTTACTGTAGAAAGTGGAAACCCAATAAGCCTTCAAAAAGAGCCGAAAACAGTTTTTTTTTTTAATGATTTTATACAGTCAAGTTTCAATACAAGAAAAAAATGCCTTTTGGGTTTTTTTCTCTTAAAAAAAGAGTTAATGTTATTAATCACAAAAAAGTAAATTATACTCCATTCGTTAAAAAATGTAAGGTATTTTTAATCAAATTTCACCCCCAATAAAGTAATTACCTACTTTTCAACTAATTCTATCTTTTTATATTTACCTTAATTAAATACTCTATAATAAATATGAAGTCATTATTAATAAGGGTACTTTAAAAAAAGTAATAATTACACTTAGAAAGACTAAAAGTGCCTTACATTTTTTAATATTTAACTTCTTAAAAATATCTTACATTTTTAAATTGAGAGAGTACATGTTAATAATCAAAATGAAAGAAAAACACTCAAAAAAACCTACCAATGTTATCTAACACTCTAAAGCACCAAAAAAAAAACAGTTCAAGAGAAAAATAAAAAAACAATTAAAATATCCAACAGAAGCCAAAAGGAGAATAAAACAAGAAATCTCAAGGATTAGCCAGTGCTTTTTTTTTTTTTTTACAGAAAAAGTAACTCCATTAGCATTATCCACACTCAATGATTTTGCCTTGTCAAGAAGCAAAATTTGAGTAAACACTGAACTAGTTGGTTCATCTTCCTTTTAACATCGCTTGCAGAGAAATTTATAATTTTATTCTCATCCTTACAAATTGGAGACAAACAACAATTATTCACAAAAAGTAATAAAGAACAAATGTCGCTGATAATGCCAACACTTTTCTAGTTAATATTAACAATCACACCATTGATAACAGCTTTACATAAAACCTCACGGCCACCCTCCACATGAGCCCAAATAAAGTCAAAATTTGGGATGAATGTTATGGCGCTCAAATTTTTGGGGGTTGCATTTTGAAAGTGAATCAACAAAGATCTCCAAACGGTCCACAAGAGACACAAAGCGGCATGAGCCCAAATATGTGACGTGGAAGAAAAAGCAACCGCTCCGTACTGCAGTAAAAACAAGAACGAGCAAAAAATGACACTACCAAGGCAAACCTTGAGGATTAACCTTAAGTTGAGAAATTAAATGGTTTACCGATGAGGGTCAGGTCTAATGAAAATAACTAATCCTGACAACATAATAAATAAGGTTTGAATTTTTATTGAAAGGGTTGTCCATATTTAATAGAAAGCGATGCCTCAACCAATATTATTAAAAAAAATAGCAACAAAAAAAGAAACTAGAGTTAGGGGTTAGCCACGTGACAAAAACTGAAAAAATAACTACTCCTCTACTAACTATGACAATAAACATGGACGAGTGGGCTTCATTTAACTGGATGCAAAATCTGTCCATTTTCTTATTACCCTTTTTTTCTTCATTTCTCAACCATGATTATTGATATTACTGCACTAAATAAATTTGTCTTCGTTATATATTTGATGAATGATTACAATTAAGAAAGTAAAGAGAAAAGGATCATAAATAAATGAAGATATCCGGGGTCCCATTGAATCGCATCAGTCCAATTGAACTACGTTGTCCATATTGTCCCCCTGAACAAACAACCATGCAACCGCAAGCCCATGAAGAAAAAGACACTAATGATGCACCAGCCATTAGCCAACACCTATGAGCACACGAGATGGGGATCAATGCAGCATCGAAAAGATCCACCAATAATATAGCCAAATTGACAATAGGAAAAGCAAAGGGAGAAATTAAAATAGGGATCAAAGATTTTATCTAACTACCAGTATGTCTTAAAATTTTTTAAAATTTTAATTCAATTGAGGGGTTAAAAGTAAAAATAAATTTTATAGTAAAAAAAATTAAAGTATTACTCGCTTATTATATAAGATCATTATTTATTAATTTCTTACTTCACTTGTTAATTTATCAATATTATTTAAAAATTATATATATTTATCAGACAAAAAGTAATATTAGTTGTCAATTTGCAAAATTTACTTACTAATTTACTAAAGTCAATTGTAAATTATAAAATCTATCAATAATTTATAACTAATATTAATAAATTATAATACATGTTAATAATTTATAACTGATATTAATAAATTAATAAATAAAATTAAAAATTTAATAATCAATTTTGCTACTTGTGCTTAAAAAATTAGTATCAAGTCTTATATAATTACTGACATGTTAATTCATGTAATTTGTAACTCATATTAATAAATTAACGAGTGAATTAAAAAAATAATAATTAATAATTCTGCACAATAAGTGAATAGTATTTTAATTTTTCAACAGTTGATTTGTTTTTTAACTTTTATTCCCTTAAATTGAATTAAAATTTTAAAATTTTGTAGGACTCACTAATAATTAAATCATATCCCTTATCCTGATTTAAAATTCTCCCCAAATCACGGTAATGAAAGAAAATCAAGAACTTGTGATTTAATAATTTGTCACTTACAATTAATGGTGAGAAAACAAAATCATAAAGATTACTTGAGAAAATGTAGTATGACATTGACATGAAATGCAAAACTTTTAACACGTCATGTTACGTATAAAAGTTGTAACTTTAAACAATTCAATCTTTCTTGTATAATAAAGCTTGCACTTGCAGGTTTCTGATGAACCCAGATCAATCCACTTCCGTGTAAATTAGTCAGCCCCAACTATTATTATTATTATTATTTTGATAAAGAAATGCCCCAATTACAATTCACAGTATTGGCTAAAAGTCCACGATTCTCAGTCAAGGGCCTTGACTAGGACTCGGTGCGCTCGGTCAACCAGGGGTAAAGTGCGGGAAGGTCATATAGCCAGAAAAAGCACCGACTGGTTTTTGCACAACGAGGTGAGTTAATCGAGGTGAAAATCACACCCAGCATTTGCGTATTCATTACTCGAAGAGCAGTAATACTGCCACATGTTCAACGAATCAAAACCCATTCGCATCAGCTTCCTGGGTCCTGCCTTGGTCTCAATTCAAATCCGAACCCCATTCACACACCCTATCGGTTCTAATATTTTCAACATCAATTAAGGTCCCTAACTGTTTTTGTTTTTAATCTTTTTGTTCGGTAAACTGACCTGCAGCTGCCGTGTGTGGACTTCCCTTCGGACCAGAGAGTCTTTCTTCCCAGTTTTTACGCAGCAAGTTCTTCCTGAGGCTCAATGCGTTAAGACTTGAGATTATCCTGTCAGATTCTTAGAAAAAGGGGAATCGGTTGGGCTTAGACTCTGAAGGTTTTTGCGATCAGATTATCTATCACGTAGTGGAGGTGAGCCTACTCAGAATTTATTTTTATTGTCTTCATTTTCAGTTGAAGGAAAAGGGAAGTGTAGATGGTCCCATATCAACCAAAATATGTATGGACGCTTTTGGGCATATCTGCTTTCAGATTTCTATTACGGGAAATTTTGGAAACATATGTCAGTTCTTGATCTTATTTTACCAAATACGGTGTTAAGCTTTTTGGTCGACTTTTTCGCCTCTGTTGGAAAATATCAGATTTCATTTTATAAAAACCTTTCCGAGTCGGTTATCTGAAATTGTAGTTGCTGGGAGGCGCAGATAGGTTGCCAGGGGATGCAATAATCATTATGCGAATGTTTATTTGATATAGCGGTAACCACATATGCTTAATTGAAGTCTTTCCCTGTCGCTAATTTTTCAAAGTATATAAGCAGTCGTCATCATCCATGAACTTCACCGCAGATGAGGTTTTGCTTTTCCATAGTTTTATTTTATCGTCAACTTCTCTTCTCCATTCTGAATATGCAGACCAATCCGTTGCAATGAAGTGTTTACCTTTCCACTATGGAGAGAAGAAGGAAGAACCGATGAGCATGAAGTCAGCTTCGGGTCGGTCCAACAGTTCCACAAATGCTGAAGATGATATGAGAAGATCTGGTTCTGAATTGAATTCTAAGGATCCTTTAGAAAACAGTACAGAGTCCCTTGGGAGGACTGCATTACCCAGTTTGTCTCAAAGACCCAGCAACCTGAAAGTCTTCACTGTTCCTGAACTAAAATCAGCCACGAAGAATTTCAGTCGCACTGCTATGCTTGGAGAGGGAGGGTTTGGATGTGTATACAAGGGATTGATCAAGAGTGGAGAGGATCCTAACAGAAAAATTGAAGTTGCAGTTAAACAACTTGGTAAAAGAGGAGTGCAGGTAAGTGTTCTTTGTATTAGGTTTTGTATTCAGAATGTATGTAAAGTTAATTGCTTTACCAATATCTTGCGATATCATAGTAAAATATTAGGCAATGTTATTGCTCTAACTGATACTTTTTTCCCTAGAAAAAGGACGGAAACTCTGGATTTTATTAATATTCCTTTACTTGTGGCATAAGAATACTGTTGGTACAAAACAACTCCAAATGAACAAATAGAACTCAAAGATAAATGAAATGAACTAAATTTACAAAATAAAGGGCAAAGCAAGGCTAAAACTTTTTCTTGTTAAACTAGACATAAGATTATAGAGGTGACTCTAAACAAAGAATAACAGACTATCCTAGTATTATCATAGAATAAGTTTGTTCAAGTAGAGCCAGCTAGAAGCTAGAACACTCATTGTGGGGAATTTTTAGCAATAGTTGGTAAGCTTTTCTTTATGCTCAGAATTTTTTCTGTCAAGTCTAAGTGATAATCTTATTGCTACATTATGATAGCTTGGAATTTGGTTATGAAAAGTGAATCAATTAATTCCATTCCATTATTCAAGTGTGTGTGTGTGTGTGTACCAAACGAAGCTTACAACCATATTCCATTTACTTTTTCTTACTTGCTTTTCATACATTTGGTTCCAAAAATTACATTCCATTTGAAGCTCATTCCTTTTCCTTTTCCTGCTTCCATTTGGTCGAAAGTTATTTCAGCGTACCAAATAAGGCATAGAGGTATTGTGCTCATTGTTTAGCTATGCAATTCTTGTTTTTACAGTACAATGCGTAAATCTTGTATTTTGACTTGGTATTTGCAGGGGCATAAGGAATGGGTGACAGAAGTTAATGTTCTGGGCATTGTTGAGCATCCCAATCTGGTAAAACTAGTGGGTTACTGTGCAGATGATGATGAAAGAGGAATCCAGCGGCTTCTGATTTATGAATATATGCCCAACAGAAGTGTGGAACACCACTTATCACCCCGTTCAGAGAATCCTCTCTCATGGAGTAGAAGATTGAAAATAGCTGAAGATGCAGCTCGTGGCTTAACATACCTGCACGAGGAAATGGATTTTCAGGTATACACAAACAACATTAACTTGCCTCAATTTAGTTGAGCATTGTCTACAAATTGGTTTGAGTTCCTTTTACATTCTTGAGCCTGAAATGGAAATGGAGCTGGCAGGAGCTAAATTGGAATTTTATAAACTTGCTTTCATTTGCTATTCAAATATTTTGTGGCAGTTTATCGTTGCTTATTGTGTCTTGATGTGTGATACATAGATAATCTTCAGAGACTTCAAATCTTCAAACATCCTCCTGGATGAGCATTGGAATGCAAAGCTATCAGACTTTGGGTTAGCTAGATTGGGACCACCTGAAGGATTAACTCATGTCTCGACAGCGGTATGGCCCCTTGTACTAATCTACAATATCATAGATAAATATACAGATAACTATTCACTATTTTAGCTCCCTAAACTTTTCTGTTGGCCAAAAAAAAAAAATCACTATTCACATATAGAGAGAGAGATTTGCATTCGATCTTTGGGACTGATTATTTGAATAAGCATAGACAAGTTCTCTATATGCCTGAGGACCTGAATCTAGAGGTATCAGGGGCTGAGTTCTCATATTTGTTAGGTCATGATGTGATCACATCTTGATACAGGGAATCATGAACACTTTTTTGTTGCCTTTGGATATCGATCAGTTCAAGCCTGACGTGTGGTAAAAAATAAAACCTATGTCTTTCTTATACCTTGCCAAAGCCCTTAATCCAGGATCTCTAGTTTTTATTTACTGTTCATGCCCAAATCAGACAGTCAAAGTTAGTCCTTTGTTGATATTGCACACTGTCCAGAGTCCAAGCAGCAGCAAACACTAATTGTAGGTGGCTTCCAATGATAAAATACACTATTTGTGCTCTCACATGCTGGTTATGTTCATCAGGTGATTAAATATAATATTTGCGTTCAAGCGTTCATATTCTGGTTATGTTCATCAGGTTGTGGGAACAATGGGATACGCGGCTCCTGAATATGTTCAAACTGGCCGTCTGACATCTAAGAGTGATGTATGGAGCTATGGTGTCTTCCTTTATGAACTCATCACTGGCCGGCGCCCTTTTGATCGAAATCGTCCGAAGAGTGAGCAGAAGCTCTTGGAATGGGTGAGGCCATACTTGTCAGATGGGAAGAAATTTCAACTAATATTGGATCCAAGGCTTGAAAGGAAACACGTTTTTAAGTCAGCTCAAAGACTTGCTATTGTAGCTAACCGATGCTTAGTCAAAAACCCAAAGAGTCGCCCTAAGATGAGTGAGGTATTGGATATGGTGAATCAGATTGCACAATCTTCATTGAGTGCAAGTCCAGAGCTACCCTTGAAGAATTTTGCATCAACGCAAGAGTCGCAAGAAACGAAATTAAAGAACAAGAGAAGGACTATGGACCTTAAACCTGGAGAAACTAATTGTTTTTTTAGGATATGGAGACGAAAGCAGCAAGGAGCCATTTGATTATTTTAGGACTTGGCCGATCAAGTTTGTTATTGAAGGCAAAGCAGCTGTTGCTTCATGACAGGAATCATTAATCATTGCCCGTGACACGATGAAGAATACTTGTATATTTCCTAGCTACGTCACTTCACACAGGTGAGAAGCAGTGTTCATCGCTTTATATATATATATATATATATATATTAATAAAGCCGTCGTCCTATGCTTTATTAGTCTTTTAATTTTACCTGTCAAGTTTTTTTGAGGAAATGCAAAGGGATGCTATTTAAGTAGACATAGGAATAACTTGGAGAATTTCCAGGGCAGACGTGTCTGGCCAACAAAAAAAGGCAGACATGCCGGTGGACATTGGCAGGGCTGGGAAAATGGGCCACACCCAGCGAGTTGGCCTATACAACGCTCGAAAATGTAGGGTTGCAAAAATGAGGTCATTTTAAATGGGTCAACACTAACCTTGTCCATGGGTTAGCCTTTTGCTTTTTTTTTTAAAAAATGTGTGAAATAGATCAGGTGGAATTATGAAGTAATCTATGTATATTTTTGTAATTTTAGCTCCCTTCTTTATTTTCCAAGAAGTTTACCGGGATAATTTCAGAAGAGATACATTTTACTCCTATAGTCATGTTCCTAGATGATATGGAATTTTTCAGGCTAGTAAAAAATAATTTAAGAAGTATAGTATGAACTTGCATCACCAAAGCCTTAGGATTCAGCTAATTTAAGAGGTAACGATACTGTGTATAAAAAAAGTAATAATACTTTTAATGACAGAACAAGTTAAAAAAAAAATCTGCAGGTATAATTTTTAAAGGTGCAGTTTAACTCCTGTCTTAAAAAAAAAAAAGATCGATATTTCAATATTTAATTTTTTTCCTATTGAAATGACATGAAAAACCTCGATTGAAACATCCATTTGCCTAACTTGGCTGACTAAGAACATTGCATTAATTATCGTGCATGGAAGTTGTTATGCGGGGTGTATTATTTCTAAGGACGATAAATATGAACTTTGACGCTAAGAAGTTGAGATATTTTCCTGCTGATGATGCGTGCATCAGTGGCTTTCTAGTTTTCTTAGGCGCATGAGTGAGAGTTGAAAAGAGACGAAGTTTTAGCACGGATAGGAACAGTGCAATGGTAGGGACAGATAAAGAATAAAAATGTAAAATTGACTTGACTCTGCACTCAGGGGGGAAAAAAGACTTGACTCCGGAAATCAGATTCCCTTTAGGTGGCCACTTGTGGGACGTTGAGAACCAGAACCTCACTGGTAATTAACAGGATATCATGGCGTATCATGCACTTTTGGTCTAATATTCATCGTTCATAGGTGACGATGCCGAATTTCATGGTACAATGATGGAATAGGCGTTGTGACAGATGACCTGATTGATTTGATTTTTTCTCCTCCCAATTGAATGTTTTATCATGGCTTCTTGGTCTCCGTGTTTATTTTGGGAAGACAGCATGAACCTATTAAATCACTGGTTCTAATTGCGGACATTTCACTGCTAAACTTTTGTGGAAGTCATTTGTTTGGAATTAAAAAAAAATGAATTGAAAGAAATTTTTGGAAGCATGAACCTTGGCAAAAAAAAATTTTTTTTGCTTGGAATTAAAAAAATGAATTGAAATAAAAAATTCCTTCTAATAACTCCAGATTATTAAGATTTCACGTAGTGTTAGTTTTGAATTTTCAACAAGTCATTTGTTAAAATCAGGTGTTGCACTTAAAAATAAAGACATTTCCAAAGTGTCAGGTTCTTAGAGAGCTTACTTTTCTATTTCCTATAATTATAGACTGTTGAATACCATGGTTTCAATAGGGAATTACTGGTAATACATTGGTGTAAATTAGGTAATGCACTTATGAATGGGTTGTCTCCTAGTATGAATATCAAATGTGAATTATAAATAGTAACTTGTAAGACCAGATAACGTGCTTGGAATTGTCTCTCAAAAAGACTATGTTTCTTTAATAACAATTTAATAATTAAAAATTGCAGTTGGAATTAATGACTCACTCCTTCCAAACCAAAATATTGGCCTTAGAATATCAAACGTGAATTATAAATAGTCACTTGTAAGATCAGATAACGTGCTTAGTATTGTCTCTCAAAAAGACCATGTTCCTTTAATAACAATTTAATGATTAAAAATTGCAGTTGGAATTAATGACTCACTCCTTCCAAACCAAAATAAAGGGCATGGGTAACTTGATAGTTATTAAAAAATGTTAATTGAAATTTTAATTTTTTTTCAAAAAATTCACATCTTTTCAATTTCATTCTTATTAAATTGTTCATAAAAGTATTTTGAAAGTGATAATTAAAATTTCAACACATCATTTGTTTAAAAAGAATAATAAATAAAGTAAGAATATAGTTGAAAAAATAGTTATAAAAATAATCTAATATTTTATATTTTAAACCAAGCAAAACTTTTTTAAAAAAATTATATTATGGTTTGAAGGGAGTAACAACGAAAGAAACTAAGCAATAAAAGTGTCTTTGATGAAACAAGCCAACTAAATTAAGAAATAAGATGAAAACCAACAATACAATATAAAGTCTGTTTGGTGAATATGTCTGCAACTTCATTCGCGTCATATGAGATATTATGAATCACTACACTCCAATTACAAGCTAGTACAGCTTGAATTTAGTTGTTGAGAGGCCCTACACCATTAAGCAAGTCCACAACTTAGTGGCAGAGGGCCCTCTTAATTTCTTGGAGGGGATTGTTTCCCGGGGTCCCCTTCTTGGTAATTATCCTGCCCTCACATATTGAGGACAATGGTTTAAAAAAAAAAAATTAAAAATGGAAGCCTACACTCAATTTGTAAGGGTAGGATAATCATCAGGAGGGGAACACTAGGAGAGATCTCCCTCCCCGATTCTTATTGACACAGTACAAAGTTCTGCTTAAAAAAAGGATAATTAAAGCAAAAGCATAGGGACATGGTATTAATTTCAGCATTGTTGGATGAATTTAGCACATGCATATATTCCAACGAATATGCAATAAAACTAAATATTGAAATTTAGGTACAAATAAAAATACAATTAAAACAAGGCAAAATAATTTAAAAAATGGTATTAAAATCTCTCTAAATTATGTAAATGATAATTTAATTTTTTTAAAATATCACAACATCAATGAAGTTTTTAAAGATTTCTTTGTCAATAACCTTTTTAGAGAAAAGATCATTTTATCCTTATTGATAAATTGTATTTTTTTTGTTCAATCCTTGTAATTCTTTTAAAAAAAGTTATGATTTTTTAATCAAAAGTTGTTAATATAGTTTGTTATTTTAAGAACTTATTTTTTAATAATAAAAATTACATCTGACAAATTATAATTTTTTATTCAACTCTTAGGATTTATAAAATAAAAGTTATTATTTTTTAAATAAAAGTTATGATTGAAGTTTGTTTCTCAATAATAATAAAAATTATACTTAATAAGTTATAATTTTTTGTTTAACTTTTACAATTTATAAAATAAAAATTGTGATTTCTTAAACAAAAGTTGTGATTTGATCTTATTATTTTTAATAAAGATAAAATAATATTTTTTAAAAAAATTATTGACAAAAAAGTCCCCAAAAACTTTATTAATATTATAATATTTTAAAAGATTAAATTATTATTTATATAATTTAAAAAAATTATTGTCATTTTTTCAAATAATTTTTGACGATTGATTGCGAAATACGAATTTCACATCCCTTGGCTAGCGCAAGCGTGACATAAAAAATGAGGCGGACCACAGAAAAAAAAAACTACAAAATACAAAGAAAAAAATGGATGGAAGAATGACGATCAAAGAGTCAAGAGCCTTAGTGCAATACACGTGGAAATGACTTAGGCAGCAAGTTTTGATAGAGAAAGGGCGAGACTCTCGGTGTGGATTTTTTTTTTTTTTTAATATAGGTAAATGTTTAATCGAAGATTAAGTTAAGCCGACCAGGCCTCGCTGCTTCAGGCCGCCTCGGGTGCAAAGGTCGTCTTTTCAGCCACTAGCAAGAAAGAAAATGAAAAGGTCATCCCACGTGATACATTGTCATGAATAATAATAAAAAAAAATTATTTAAATAAAATTTATGAATTATTTTATTTTTAACAAAAATAATTTAATTATTTATATAAATTTATTAACGATAAACTCTCAGAACTACATTAAAATTATAACGAGATGAATTTATTCTTTATATATTTTAAAAAGAATTTATTGTAAAAAAAAGAAAAGAAAAGCCAGAAGTAGTTGTCTGTTGTCATGCTCCACCAATCACAGACGTTCCTTACCTTCTTCCTTCAGTGACTGATCTGAACCGTTCGTTTTAACATACTCTCAGTCTCAGATCCAACCGCCCCGTTTCTCACGAGGAAAATCAAATCTTCCCCTTAGTTAACAATCATTAAGGATCTGGAGCTCCGACCCTAGAAAAAGTTTATTACGGATTATTAAAATATTCAGGTTATGAAGTTTTGGGATTAAAGAAAGCCGTCCGAGGAAATGCCGCTTAATCAGTGCTTCAAATTTATATTAACTATCCCAGAGTTCGATCCTTTAGCGCCGTCGCAAACAGTATATAAGCGCGTGAAGGGCGCCTTTTAATTCCATTTCGTGCAGCACTTACATTCAATTCACTATCGTCATCTATTGCGCGTCCTCAGCTCCTCCAGGTAAGCAGTGGCTTGTGCAATCCCCCTGTGACCTTTCTGGCTATTCGCTCTTTCTGGACACGCCCTTGATGATTTTCTGAATTCAGTGGAACGCAGAATCCAAGGTCAGAGAGCTCTTATTTGTATGTTTTGCTTATTTTATTTGTTTTCTCCGTTAAATTTGTGGCTCTTTTGTTTTCAATTGTTCTTTATCTGAATTGTATTGGATCATTTGTTATGTATTGGATCGTTTGTTATTTGAATTCGAACCTTTTCTTTTCGAGCATATTTGGGTTCGTTTCCGGTCGGTGTAAACGATGCTATCAACGTATGGATTGGAATGATCTCTTCTCTTGGTTTAATAGGATCTTGAAACAGTTGTTGTCTGAATCCTCTGGATTTCGATTATGTTGCCGTCGAATTTTCAAGTTTTTAACACACTCGTGCCCACATACTCATCTATGTACTCCGTTAAGGGGCAAAGGAATAGCCAAAGGATCAGCAGTATGAGTATGTTACCTTTTTTGTAGCTCTCTCTACAGCTTTGAGACGGACAGATGTTAGTAGCAGACGATTGGAAACTTTTATAACTTCATAAAGTAATGGTGCTTTGACTTCAGCCATTTATGCTAGACTAGCGAAAGTACCCTTATGAGTTCAAATTTGTAAGAAAACTTTCATCGGATCCCATAGAGATGTGATATAATGTAAGGGGTATGCGTAAATGAAATCTCTTTTTGGATTTGCTCCCGAAATCAATCCTAAGATTTGATGAAGATAACCAAATACAGACAGTTGAAACTTACTGCCACTCAAATTAAACTTAGCCAACGTTTAGCGATATTAAACTTCGAGATAGAGTAAAATGGAGTTAGAGCTGAGCATGAACAGGGCGTCCACTTTTTATTGAAATAAAATAAAGAGGGGGCGAGGGTATAGCCACTGGGTTTCTTTGTTTCAAATTCAGCGGTGAACACCGATCATTTCGTCTGAAAAGTAGCCTCTGCTAGTCATGGTATATCATGTAGATTTCCTGTTTGTGATCGTGAATGTAGATTCTCCTCAAACACTAAGCAGAAAATGGTTCATGCTAGTTCATGGGAATGCTTGGGAAGAAAATTTACACATTGAATAAATTTTGCTGAAGGGACAAGTTTCTGTTTCAGTTTTGTCCGAGTTGTTGGACATCATTGTCTTACTTGCAGCTGAGTCTCCAGTCTCTTAATGCATAGCTCTTTTGAGCAGGTCAATTGTTGCTGGTGAAGAACAGTTCCAATATTTTCTAGGAGAAGGCTTCAGATTTTTTTTTTTTTTGGGTGCAAAAATTAACTTTTAGGGATGGTTTTATATGAAAATTCAGATATCATTCAGTGGGGTCTTCGCCTTCTTGATGGCGACCCTAGTTACAGTCCAGAATACTACGGTGACATAATTCAACATGATACCAGTAACATATATGATGGAAACTACTACCATGGCCATTATGATGCTGAGAGTGATCATATAGAGAATGATGAGATGATTGCACGGACTCTTCAGGAAGAATTTTCACAGCTAGATATTGCTGAAAGTTCCAGATATTCACAGGCAAGTGAGGAGCATTACCATACTCCAGAGCTGGCATATGGATGGCATAACTCTTCAATGATGAACCATCACTCAGAAGGTATCAGTAAAGCTGCTTGTCAGGTCTCACATTGGGGAGGGTCTTGGCTATATAAGCGGGTGCGTTGCACGCCCTAATGGGTTAACCTTTTGGGAAGAGAATAATAGCCCCGTGACAAAGTGGTATTAGAGCTAAACCAGAATTTGCCCAGTCGGTGGGCCTCTTTGGTGGGCCACTAGTGACAGGGACGTCACGGATTGGCCAGGATAGCTGTCAGGTCCCATATTAGAGGGACTTGAGAAAGGTCTTGGCTATATAAGCGAGTACACTGCATGCCCTAATGGGTTAACCTTTTAGGGAGAGAGTAATGGCCCCGTGATATGCTGCTTTCTTGTTTATATGAGGGGTTTATTTTATTTGTCTACCAGAGGTTGGTTAATTTCAAATTTTGATTAAAAATTCTGTCTATGCAGACCATGATTATGTCCAGGAAGGAAATGATGATGCAGAACATTCTAGTTCATGTTCTAGTCCTTGTGAAGGGGGAGAACACTCATTAGAGCTGACTGATCCATTTACTGACGAAGTGGGAAGGAGATTGAGTCAAATGACTCCAATTCCTGTATGCTTAGCTTCTTCTGCTTCTAAAGATATATCCGTATACACTATTCAGTTAATGAAGCAATATTTTAAATAAACTTGTCACCTTTCTACGGATTTCCGTTTCATGGTCATGCAACAATTGATTTATCATTATCTTTGTTTTCTGTATATCAATTTCTTGGGCTAGTTTTTCGCCCTCTTTTTCCTGGACTGCTTATTCATCATGTTACGTATAACAACATTGAAGTCAAACAAGTTTTAATTGACAGTAGTGGTAGTCATGCGGCTCATAATTCTTTACACACAGTGATGAGTGAAGCAACTGTTTTGCTTGAATCATTTTTCCAGGTTTTTCCTATTGTTTTGTTTTGTTTTTGGTGTGTATAATACGTGAGTTTTTTGCTTGAATCATTTATTCAGGTTTTTCCTTTTTTTTTTCCTTGCCTTTTTTGGTAGGAAAGTTTCAGAAGTTTTATCTGTAGCTTTTGTTCTCACTTCTGAATATTATCAATTAATCACCAAGCTTTGGTACCTCACAAGTGATTTAGTTTTAGCACGTTTATTTATTTTAATCAGTCGTGTAACTCATGTACTAGACCCATGGTGCTTAAATTGCTTCTTTTTGCTGTGAAGCATGTTCCAAGAATTAATGGAGATATTCCTTCAATTGATGAAGCAACTTCAGATCATCAAAGGCTTCTGGATAGGTATTCTTTAATAAATATTTGTCTTTCTTTAAGAAACTTCAATATGCTTGCATTCATGTTTCTCCCGTAAAAGTGAGTAATTGTCAATTTATTTTTTTTGGTCATTTACTTGTTTTTGTGCGTGTGGAATGAAACTTATGCCACGGATGGACTTTATTGCGTTTTTCTTTCTTCTTCACTAGTTCATTAATACATAAATTCGTTGAAAGAATTATTCATTTCTTGGGCTTGTTCTCACATAAACATATAAAGCTGTGCTTATTTTTAAACAGATTGCAGTTATATGACTTTGAAGAGCGCAAGGTACCAGGTGATGGTAATTGTCAGGTTTGTTTCTGTTAGCAGTCGCAGAGCACATTTCATTAATTTCTGTTTGTAAACATCAGATAACGATAATTATTTATGTTTCTTCCTCAGTTTCATGCATTATCTGATCAATTGTATGGCACACATGAGCACCACGAATTTGTGAGACGACTAGCAGTAGACCAGGTTTGTTGTCTAGTGGATTAACTTTTATGATGCTTGGTGGAATGTAATTTCCACTGCTTTTGTGCTTTTATTGTTGTTGGTTCTGATGGTGCCAGCTTAAGTCTCATCGGGAGATTTATGAGGGATATGTTCCCATGGAATATGGCGACTATTTGGTGAAGATGTCCAAGTAATAATCCAACAGCCTTTCCCGTCCATATATCCAAATATACTCTTAATGGTTTTTTAGAGATTAATCAGTAACCCTTTTTTACTTTTCTTGTCAATGAAACTAGGAGTGGTGAATGGGGTGATCATGTCACTCTACAAGCAGTTGCAGATACGGTATGAGCTTCAGAACTTACTTTTCCTCTCATAGTTTTAGAACTTGTCCCCCTATTCTTTCGTCGACTGTGAGACAAATCAATTTGTTTAAGAAACTTTCAGATAAATATGAATCTGTGGCGTGACACTTTTAATTTCCCCAAGTTGAGCTGTTTGTTTTGAGCCTAAACTTTTTTATTTTATTATCATTATGCATCTGCTTTCGTACTTAGGTTGTCGAGTCTCTTCAATAATTTCTCTGCTCAGTCAACTGAGCCAAGCCTGGGCAGCACCTTTTTTTTCTTTTTGTTTTTTTTTTTAATATTCCTGGGTGATTTCTTAACCATAACTATTATGTTACAGACACAATCCCTAATTTTGTTGACACTGGATAGTTGAATTTAGCTGTGGATTACAATCCTATAACGCTGTTGATTTGCAACTGTAACACAATCCAATTGATCATATCACAATAGGGCTTCATGACTAGTATAGTGTTCAACGAAGGTTTATAATCCTTTTGTATTAAAAAAAAAAAATCATGAACTTGGAGTGAAGTATGTCAAAGTTTGGAGTTGTAGTTGCCTGGTAAAGTCTCCTCTCCCCTTTTAAATTCTCAAAAAACCACATTTTAAGCTCCTGTTGCCTGGTTCTAAGATGATCTAATTGCTAGGTTTTTAGTATTATTTGAATTCAGCAATGATCTGATATGCCTGATCATTTTTACTAATAATTTCAAATTTGATCTGCTGTTTTCTACAGTACGCTGTGAAAATATTCCTGATCACTTCATTCAAGGATACCTGTTGCATAGAGATAGTTCCTCATTTTGAGAAGCCGAAAAGAGGTAAGTTTTATTCACGGTGAGATTTGAGCAACGGATTCTGCTTAGGTGAAGTGAGAGAGGCCAATGCCCGGGATTTTTACTTCTGCTCGGATTTCTTCCTCTTTTTTTTTTTTGGGGGGGGGGGGGAGAAGGGATTTTTTCCTTCGTGTAACTAAATTTGCTTATCTTTTTGGGTCTCGTGTTAAGGTCACATTGTTACTGACTAGTTAACTGGAAAGTTTTTCCAAACTTGACCAGGCCTTTTTGGATAATGCAATGATGCCTTCACAAAACATGCTATTGATTATGAATGATTGTATAACTTCAAAACTTTTTATATTTAATTTTCTCCTGTTTAAGCCTAAAGAGTTGTGGAAATTGATAGATGAAAGGTTTGTTCGGGTAATTTTTAAAAGCGCATTCCAACCAAATTTGGGATGTATTTTTGTTAAATCTAACAAATAGTTGAATCTTTCAAATGTATTTTTGTCAAGTAAACTGATATCCAAACAGGCATGAAATTATGTCTGATCTATTGATGCTTTTATCAAACAACTGCTAGTGTTAATGTGTCGGCCATGCCCCCCCCCCTTTTTTCTCGTTTGTATATTCGTTCAGTAGATTTGGGAATAGCTTAGCTGATGGCTTTATCTTCCATCATGGGTGTGTTTGTTGCAGTTATTTTCCTGAGCTTTTGGGCAGAGGTGCATTACAATTCCATCTATCCTCAAGGAGGTAATTTTCCATCCTTTGTTTGAATAGGCATGGTTATTGAGACAGTTTAGGATCAGCTTGCCCAAATCGTATTTGGTTATCGAGACATTATGTTGATTCAGATTCAGGTATGCCTTCAAGCGAGTCAAGGAGGAAGAAAAGGTGGTGGAACTTTGGGAACAAGCATTAGACTGAGTCTCTGACCCTGCCAAGAAAGCGCGCCTGAATTTGTGCATGTTTCCTTGGGTCAGAACTGACGGACTACTCTCAAATCTCGACCGCCCAATTTATTAGTTTATTACTTTGCACATTTCAATAGATTTTTCTTTCTGTAACCATAAATCTGGTCATGCTTAAATAGTCACATCCAAAGTGAATTTCGGGTGCTATACAGTAGGCCAGTTATATATATGTGTGTGCGCGCGCGCGTTTTTTACAAAAAAAACTAAATTAAATAGGGTGACTTCATTTAATAACGAGTGGTTTTCATCAAACACATTCCCCAAGTCGGCACGCTTCCAACGAACTCTACAATGTAAATTTGCCAAAATAATATCACACCCTGAAGGAATTTGCTGGCATAGAGTACAGAAAAAAAAAAATCAATGTATTGTACATTAAGTACCCAGAGTCCAAACTCCAAATATACATGCAATGTAATATAATATATAAAGCATCCTTGATACCGTTTATAATCATATACATCTTTCTCCCCCCGTCCCTCCCGTCTAGAATGAAGGAAAACGAGATAACGAAGAACACAGTCAGCTAAACACATCCACCGGATCAAAAAAAAAAAAAAAGAGCAGAGACAGACATTCACGATTTAGAAACAAGCTCAGGTTTAGAAACACATTCACTAAGCTGGGAACAGTACAAGCTTAACCTCTTCGCTTAAATTCCGCGAGAGGCTATTATTCTCCGATAGTCTCATCTTGCTGCGTTTCCTCCGTCTCCTCCGTTGAGGGTTGCAACAACAAAGCCGTGAACGGCATATTCCTGTACCCATTAGCCGCCGCCACGGCATACTCCATTCCGATTGGCTGGCACAAGTCTAATCTACAGCTGGGCTGCGGCGGCGGCGGCGGCAAAGCCATTGCAAACATACCCTGCCCACTGCCACCCGCAGACACGGGGTGGACTCGGCAAGGAACAGAAGCTGCCGACGACGATATAGCAGCATTGCTGGTGGACACCGGTTCTGCGGGGACCGTTCCGGTGCCGGTGGCAGCTATAATAGATGGCTCGGCCTGACGCAGCAGCCACTCTATGGTCTCGCCATCTGAACGGTGACCAAGTTCTCGGGTCAGTTGGAATATTCGGGCGGCACAGAGAGGCGGCATGCGGACACGGCGGCCCCGACCATTGACCTTGGTGTGACGGTCTTTGGTGGAGCGTGAGGAAGATAGGGCAGTAGATTTTCGAGGATGGGAAAGTTGGACATTAGAGTCGGAGTCCACGGTGGTGAGTGGCCCCGTATTAGATTTAGGGTCGGATTGGGGGAATCTGTGGAGGACCACTTCGGAGCTCATGAGTAGTTAGGGTTTTTGAAGGGGAGGGAATGGCAATGTTAGGGTTTCAGGGGGAGAGAGAAAGAGGGTTCAGTTTTTGGGTGATGGTCGATGGATTCCATTGACCCCACAGAGAGGGTTAAGCCCATTTATACAGAACCATTGATGTGAGAGACGTTGCCCTTTTTGTAAGCTTATGTATTTAGTAGACGCCGTGTGTGAAGCTTGTGGGTGGGTCCAGTGGGCCTCGGCTGTGTCATTACGGTTACGGCTATCACGCTTTTTGCACTAGGTTGTCCCGCCATAGCGTTGTTTACGTGATACTCCGTTTTTGAGGCCGAATGTTACTCCGTTTCAGATATTAATATAAACTTTTGGAAAGCCAATAAATTTTAAAAAGCCAATATAAGATGAAATAAGGATATTGACATATATTTTTTAATAAGAAAAAATTTAAAGAACCCAGACCAACTTTTTTTTTTATCATGTAAGCTTTTTTTAAAAAAAATTTGCTCATTAAAAAATATATGTCAGTATTAGTTTGACATGTAAATATAAAATTAATAGTATTAATTAATATTTCAATATTATTAACATTATTTATACTATATCAATGTTATTGTACAAATGCAAGGACTAACGTGGAAAAGTGTTGATTCATTGATGTTGCATTCAGCCCATAAATGTTGTGCTAAAAAACCCATAAATAAAGATATTAATAGAAAAAAAATCATTAAATATGACATTGGACCATTGCTGCCAAATTCTCAAGTTAATTTTATGAGTGTATCATTTTTACATTTATAATTTATAAAATTATGTCAGCTTGCTGATAAACTCGGGTTAGGTATAAACTCATTTAAACTCACAAGTTGACATCTGAGTTTATTATTTTTATATTTTTATTTTATAAAATTATGTTAACTTACTCATAAATTCATATTAAATACAAACTCAGTTAAACTTGTTAAGCTTGTCGATTTTTTATCAAGTTGAGAAAATTAAGTATATACCATGTAGAATTTAGTTCTTAAAAGTGCTAGAACCTGATTCAAAGAAAAATAAAACTTAAAAAGAAAAAATTAATATTAAATTATTAATGAAAAAAATACCAAAAAGAAATTGCCTTATTTTGAAATTTTTCATGTTTTGTATGATAATATATTAATATAAATGGATTGAATTTTAATTATTTATATTTGAAATATACTTAAATCATATTTTATATTTTAACTATTTAATTATATGCTTTTAATATATATTTTTTAATAAATGTTTTACGATCTGAGCTTACATACTCATTATGAATTACTTAAATATGCGAGTTAGATAACTTTGCTCTAGACTTCCAAAAGTACAGGTAAAATGAAATAAAAATTTCTAGAAAAACATATATTTTGATGTAAAGAGAGTAGTTTATAAAAAAGAACCTGCACCTTGTAAATTTTTTGAGGGTTTATTTTCATTGTGTTCTTTTATTTATGAAAATAAGATGTGATATTTTACGATACTTGATTAGTTGGTTACTTGTCTTTTAATTAACTTATAATTTTGTTAAGATAATACGTGGAAAAATAAAAACTTTGCTATGTGAAATGTTTTTGGTAAAACTAGAAATAAAGGTTTAGTTGGGCTTGTAGGTCTTATTTAAATAAGGATTCAGGCTTTACAAATTATTTTTTTTAAATGAATCGGACTTAAAGGCCTAGCCTTGATAAACCCTGTAAAAAAGGGCTTAGGCCCGGGCGGCCCTTCAAGCCCTAATAAGTCTGATTATTTTATACATATATACACATACATACATATATTTGATTGATAATGACATAATTTGGTTAATATTTATTGTAGGTGATGAAAAAAAGTTGTAAAAGTAATTGACATTAAATTTTCACATTCATCTTCAACAAGTACACTTATATCTAAGGAATTTAATGTTTTATTTGTAGATAATAAGGATGAGGAGGATTTGAGTTTTGATTGATGAATGTGTGTTGTTTAGATTTTTAAATATGTTATTTAATTTTTAAAATATTGTGTAGATTTTAATTTTAAAATATTTTAATTAATATATAATGTTTAATTGTATTTTAATTTTTTATTTTTTTAATAGGGCTTTCGACCCCGACCCTAAGCCCTTTATGTAAGGGTCGGGCTTTAAAAAAAGAGTTGAAAATGAATAATCGAGTTCAAGAGCTTGGGTTTTGAAGGGCCAAGCCCTTAAGAGTCAAGTCCGCCCGTATTCCTAACTATAATTTTTTAACCAATATAATGGATACATCAAATTGACATGAAATGCGATTTATTAGGATTATATCAACAAACTTTGTCTTTTCTTACTGTACTAAGTCAAAAAAATTTATAAAATATTTTATTTCACTTAATGTGAATGCTGATCACTAGGTGTGTGTTTAGTAGATAGAAAATTTATCTAGGAAGGAGAAAACGTGAGTGAAAAAAAAAAAAAAACTCTTGTTGTGCTTTAATCAAATAGTAAAGTTGTCATTGAATCTTGCTAATGGCTTTTTTTTTTTTTTTTAATGAGAGCAGATGTCCATTTAAAATAAAACAGAAGGAAAACAAACTCTTGGAGAGTTTCTCATATATATGCCCTGGATAGTAAATTCTCGCTTGTTCGAGTAACAACAGAAATAATCACTTATGAAATGAAATAATTATCCTGATTTAAAATTAATTGAAGATGCAGTCACGTGGCACCCGATATATATATATATATATATATTGGTTGGGGTTGGCCAGCTGCACCCGATTATAATTGTAAGGTGATGTTATTTTCACTCAACTTCTGAGTAATTTCTCCACATTTCATATCAAAGTTCTAAGAGAGCTTGTTTGGTTATTTATTTCTCCCAATGCAACCCCCCACTTCTATCTTTGTTAATTATAGGTTTTACTGGAACTGAGAAGAATCATTAGTCATAATGGTCCTGTCGATACAATTGTAGGGGAATGATAAATCAATTTTCGTGTGTAAAAATAAGTAATTTTCAAAAAATATTCTTCTTATTTTGTTTATAATGCACTTCCAACATATGTTACTAAAATTAAAAAAAAATCTTAAAACTTATTAATTTTGTTTAGAAATTTAATTATTTGTCAACTTTAATCCTATTAAATATGAATATGTTAACAATATATTTCTTCTCTTCAACATTTAATGAAAGTTAAACGAAAAAAATTTACAATATAAATTTAGTGAGATAACTTATGAATAGGATAAAAAAAAATTTATATGTGTCTTCTAAATGAGACTAAAGAGAGTATATCATTAGTGCGCTAACCACATGCAGGTCCATATATAGTTAAATATTTCCTCCATGTTATTGTAATCTTTCATATTTCATAATATAAAATATTTTAGAGTAAACAGTTACTCTCTCCATCTCGAATTATAAGATATTTTAAAAAAATTAACATCTCAAAATATAAAATACTTTTAAGAAATAAGATTTTATTAATGATGCTTTTTTAATATTACACACCCTAAAATTACTGTCGAATAACACCAAGGTTAATAAAAATTAAATTTTGCAATGAAACGCAGTCTAGGTTGTCCTTTTAAGAGTCAATGGATTAATTATTTAAATTATGATTATAAAAAGGTAAACAGTGGAGGATTTTTTTATGATGAAATTCATTTTAAAAAACTAAATTAAAAATTAAATAATTAAAATAAGTTTAACTAAGAAAATTACCAAACATAAGTAGCGCAATCAATCTCTAGTAAAAAAAGTGGCGCAATCAATCACAACCCAATCGCCTAAACTTAATCTTCCTCATCTACAAAATAAATTAATTTTATTTAACTTTATTATTTTAATTTTATTATATATTTCTTAAATTATCATTCAAGAATTGAATAAGAATTAAGCTATAAATTAATTGAAATCTTCTTTAACCCACAACTTAATAACTTTTTTATGTTAGTTAGACCAGAAATAAAGTATGATAATCACTTAAGCTAGGCTAAATTACTCTTATTTTACTATATCAATCGATTATATCAAGTAAAATTTTAGATAAAATTTATAACCTAAAAATCATGTAATAAAGTTACTTTAATAAGTAATATTAGTTAAAATTTAGAATTATAATTTTGTGATTGATCACACTAAAAAAATTAACTTTTCATAAAATTAAAAATCAAGTAGCATGAGATGTGAGTGAGAGCAAGGGCCATTGCTCTAAGAAATTGAAGGAAATAAGACGAAGAACAATCGCTTTGCTCCTCCGTTCCTTCTTCTGCCACTAGCTCTCTCTCCTTTTCTCTTTCAAGACTAAGCCTTTGTTGGGATGGGAAAAGTTGAGAAGAAAGGAAATAAAGAAAAAAAAAATTAAGAAAAAATAGTATCTCTTCTTGTTTTTAGATGAACATGAAAAAACAAAGAGGAAAGAAAATGAGCAACTATTACAATGACTATAATGCCCTTATATTAGAATAAATTATGTTTTGTATAATTATTTTTATAAAAATAAATTGAAGGAAAAGATTACATTAAAACTAATTTCACTGAAATAATTTAAAATCTAATTATTTATTAAAAATCTATTTTCATGTTATTATATTTTCAAACCAAATAATTTAGTAAAAATATAATAACGTAAAATAAAAAATTATCATAAACTTTACCTTTTTCTATGACTAGTCCACTATAATATTAGTTAGTTTACAAGTCTTCAATGTTACAGAAGCAATGGCCGCTGCAATTAGTCATTATTAATATTACTAGTTAAAGCCATGGTTTGTTCGTTGTCATGTTTTTATTTTTTCTTGATTTATCAAAAAAAAAAAATCAAAAGCATTTCTGGGTAATGACAAGATAACTAATCCGAGTCAATGAAGAATAGCGCGGGCAGCGGTGATCCAATAAAAAGAAAGCAGCAACCAAAAAGATGTACAATGATTGAAAATGAAGAAAAAATGAGAGAGAGATGAGGGTAGACACAGCATGACAATTTTCTCTCAAAATTTCTCCAAATATGAAGAGAAAATAAAAAAAAATGTGATAGGATTTACACCTTATTTTCTCTTATACTTTTTCTTCCTCTCATTTTTTTTTTCAACCAAACAGGAAAAAGCATGTTTTCTTTCTTGTTTCTCCCTCACATTTTCTCTCAATCCAAATAGTCCATCCAAATAGAACATAAAAGTCATGCGTCTCCTCCCCTCCCTTGCTCCTTTATTCATTCATTATGATTTCGTGAGTGCCGTCACCATCTGCGTCTCAACAGTGAAGAAAAACTCATATTATAATAAAAAGATTAAATTATTCTTAATAATCTAATTAAAAACTACACTAAAAACTTCAAAATAAATATAAACAAAGTTTAAAAATTTATTTTTAATTTAATCTTTAAATATGTCTATATTCTTATTATTTAAAATAATATTTATCAATATTTTTTAAATTAAAATTAAAAAATCTGCACAAATAAAATAAAGATTAATAGCAATCGTGTAAAAAATATCAAAGATATCTTTTATATTTTAAAATAAAAAATTTAAATAGTTAAAATTTAAAAGTTAAATATTAACTAATAAAATTAAATAATATCGAATTAAACTTAATTAATCTCAACTAAATATTTAAAAGTCTAAATTAAAAAATGAAAATATATAAAATCACTATTTATCAAGTCCTATATATTCTTTCTACTCTCTCACGTCTCATTTATAGTGCAAAAAGAGAAATTTTTATTGTCTTGTTTATAAGTTACCTCATTAAATTATCATAGCAAATTTTTCACTTGACTTTCATTGAATGTTGTAGAGAGAAAATATATTATTAATATATATATATATTTAATTTAATAGAGATAAAGGTAAAAATTATTAAATTTTTAGATTCAGTTAATGAGTTTTAATATTTTTTTTAATTTTTTTGAAACATGTTGAAAATGCCTTATAAATAAGATCAGATTAATTTCTTAATGATTAAAAATTATTGAAAACTTCAAAAAAATTATGACATTTAAAGGACCAAAATATTATTTATATAATTTAAAGATATTTTATCATTATTTTTTTCTTATACTAAGTTGTAGATCACTACAAAATTTAAAACACTGTTTTTTCGGGAAAAAAAACATTCACGTCAAAAGCTAACTCTCATCCACTCTCCGTCACTTCAAGCATATTTTTTAACTCAAGCCAAACAATTGACGCTTTTAAAACTTAAAATAACAAAAGATTGAAAATTTACCAGAAAAATGGTAAATTAATTAAATAATTGTTGAAATTAATTAAATAATCTAGTTTTTCGATTTAACTGTTAACACATGTTGCTGGAAAACTGGGCTTGTTGAAATTGATTGATTCGCAGTATATTGGGCCACGATGCGAGAATAGCCCTCACTTTAGAATTTGAACTTGAAGTTCGGAGACAACCTAACAAACAACCTTTAGCCCGAATGTGAACCCCATCCGTTTTCTGGAAGAAGATCTTGAGGTCTGGAATACACTTCGTAGTCTCTTCTTGCTCGAGCTTTATCTATATTATCTACCATGGATGCTTCATCTTTGTTCCTATGGAATCCAAGTATCTGATTAGAGTACCCACATCCACAATATATGCTGAATTATAGTTGTTTAATGTGATAGTTTGTTAATAATAATTCCTCTATGGAAGCTGCAAAGAATTTGTTTTGTTCATCCCCGTTTCCATCAAGAACTAATCACTGGAGCGGTCCTCCTTCGTCTTCTTCATCTTCTTCTTTAGGTACACTTGTTAGAATTACCACAAAACTTCTATCTACGTCCTGCATTTCATTATTCTCTCTATTGCAATTTACGCGGTGTTGGGGCGGGTTTCTTGAGTTCCATTTCTCTTGCTGTGAAAGCTACCAAAAATGGAGACTGTTAGTTTGATTTTTTCATGGTGCCTGCTTCAGCACCCTTTAAATCTGGACATTCAATTCTGTGCCTTTTCTTCTTCATGAAGAAAGCAAAGGAAGCACAGACTAATGATCGATTGTGTCCATCGGTGTTATCATATAATATGCCTGAAGTTCTGGTAATCGAAATGAGGTAGTTGGGTTTGTACAATATTTGGGTTTGCTTTTTATTTATCATGTTCACACGAAATGTTTTGTCGTTAGTACTATTGGACATTGAGCGTCATTCGTTTCAGAGGATAGTTAAATTGGAAGGTGCTTTGTAGAGATAAGAAGTGGTGGGATGGAAAATAAGTTATTTATCACGCATTCAAGCTATTTTGCATGGCTAGGTGCTTTGCTCATTTTCATCCCGTTGCTTCTATTTATTCACCCTGAAATTATTTGTTCTTGAAGTTCAAAGCAGTTCAATTTAATTAAGTTTCTACATTCTTAACATTTGCAGCTGTTGAATATGCAGTTCTTCCTTTCTTTGGTTTATCTGGACACTTATGTGGCAAATATTATTCTCAACCTGCCCAATTTCAGTCTTAACGAATTCCTTTTGCTGATTTTTGAACTCCCCATATTCACAGTCTTCAATTTAATTTTTCTGCATGACTTCTTTCTCTTTTCTTCTTTTCCCCCTCTTGGAGAGTCCAAAATGTTGACATGCTTGTGCTCATTTATCTACAGTTTTCACGTTTCATGAACAAGCCACTCCTGCAGTCACCTCTAGGACTGCTATTTTTGCTTCCCAGCATTTTCCCACCTCAGTTCTTTTACAAGAGCAACGTCATGAGTACAGACCTATACTGCGCACGCATAAGGAAGAAAAGACATCCCAGGTTCATGTCTAGTTCATATACCCACTGCATCAAACTCAACCGTCGTTAAATGCTTATAATGAGATCCCTCATGCTTGCATTTTTAAATCTGGAACTTTTTGACAGGCCATCTTAATGAATCCAATTGATGCCAGCTTACAGTTTTGTGACGTTATTTCATATATGATTTGCTGAACCCATGCGTTTTCTTGAAATGCCACTATTGATTCCTTAGGTTCAAATGTACAGACTCTCTCTTTTTCCATTGCATAATTTACATGTAATTAATTTTTTCCATCTGTTTTTATTAAAGGCAACATTAGATACAAGGCAGATGGATATGGTCTCAGTTCATGAAGACAATAGCCCTGGCAATGCTGATCAGTTAGTGCATGACTTTAAGCAGCGACTGCAAATTTGGCCTTGTTTACGGAACTTGTAAGATTAAATCAATTGTACTTTCCTGTCATTTTATTTGGCTTTTAATTACTTATTTCAACCTTTGCCTATCAAAAGTTATCTCCTTGTAGAGTGCATTAACAGTCTATTGCAGGTTGACTTCCTTACCAGCAGAGGAAATTGCAACATCTTCAACTCCGCAGCCTGTTACCTCTGACTTAGAGCATCCTGCAGAAGTTGAACAGCATGATGCAGTTGCTCTTGCTAAGCAAGCATTGTCAGCCTCAGAACAAGCTGCCTTGGTAGCTGCAGACATGAAATCAATCAAAGCTGATGATGATGTTTTACCTCCTCTAGGGTTAGCTCTTCCTGTCTAACATTCTTAGTTTATATTTCCTATTTAGAAGTTAATTTATTTGGAGACTGATCCCTGAAACTTTCATTCAGTTTTTCCTCCACAAGTTTGGATGAAATTTCACTTGGAAAGAATAAAATTGTGAGGTCAACACGGCTTCTAGGGAGACAATCAAAGAAGAGAAAAAAATCAAAGGCAAAAGTCTTAGACGAAGAAAGCTATCTTTCTAAAAAGGCTGAATTAAAAGGAAGGTTACATGTGGAAAAGAAGATAAATGAAGGGTTTGATCAAAATGATCCCCTACGCTTGTTCCTATGGGGTCCTGAAACAAAGCAACTTTTGACTCTGGAAGAAGAAACTAAATTGGTTCTTCAGCTACAGGTTTGTCTCTTAATTTCCAAATCATTCACACGTACAGAGTGGTGGAGTAAGGATCCTCAATTGCTTTGACATGGACTATGTAACAGGATTTATTGAGATTGGAAGGAGTAAAGAAAAGACTTCAATCACAATTTGGGCGGGAACCAACTTTGGCTGAATGGGCTGATAGTGTGGGCCTCACCTGTCAAGCCCTGCAGTTTCAGCTTTATTCTGGTAACCGCAGCAGAGAGAAGCTCATTTATGCAAATTTACGAATGGTAGTTCACATTGCTAAACATTATCAGGGGCGTGGTCTCAGTTTTCAGGACTTATTACAGGTAAATTTTGAGAAATTGAAGTCCTTACATTGCCTGCAGCTAGGACTATTTTACATTTTTTTGAAGTCCTTACATTGCCTGCAGCTTTGCACTATTTTACATTTTTGCTCTTCTTTACCATTAGTTTGCACAGTTATTATCAAGACGGAATTTGCTACACATATAACCTGTATTGTTTCTGAACATGGAAAAACACTTTGAATTAGTATTTTTCTTGAGTTGGACCATCAATCAGGAAAAAAGATGTTTGGTGAAAAAACATTAAGTAGTTACTAAAACTTTACATTTTATTTCTGGTTCTTTCATAGGAGGGAAGTATGGGGCTTATGAAGAGTGTCGAGAAGTTTAAACCCCAAGCAGGTTGTCGTTTTGGTACGTACGCCTACTGGTGGATAAGGCAAACTATTAGGAAGGCCATATTTCAACATTCCAGGACAATTCGTCTGCCGGTAAACCACAATCTATTTATTCTCTGTTGTTTAATTGGTTATATTCATGTTTTTGGTCTTTTGTGGAGAGCCTCTCCCTCGGAAAAAATATCCTCCTTCAAGTGTCAGAATTTATGAAATTTTTAATCTGTTGATAGAACAATAATGGAGTCCCATTGCAGTATTGCTCTGCTTCAGCAGTCAATGTTCTATAATACCTGTGCATTTTATAAAGCAAATGTGAATTCTATTTCTCGGTAACATGGAACCAGTGCGTTATCCACAGGAGAATGTATATACCCTTTTGGGCAAGGTATCAGAGACAAAGAAATTGTACATTCGAGAAGGAAATCTTCATCCCACCAAAGAAGAACTAGCAAAAAGGGTAGGAATTACAGTAGAGAAGTTAGAAAAGTTGCTATATGTTGCGAGAATTCCAATTTCAATGCAACAAACAGTGTGGGCAGACCAAGATACCACTTTCCAGGTATTGATTTCCAGTTAACTCGATCTCCATTTATATGATATAGTTGCTCAAATTTTGGCATGAAAGGGCTAGCCCCAATCACTATGTAGAATGTGAAGAACAGCTGAAGTGTGTGTAGCTTTCTGCTGTAATTTGGGGGAGTTCCTTTATCAAGGGTTTCGCTTGTGTTGATAAATGTAAGAACAAAAATTGATGCAAGTCTACTAACATTATAGGTTGAACAGTAGTTGATTGTTGGGAGAGCCCTTTGATTTTGCTTGTAATGAAGAGAAACAATGGCAACAGCGTAAGTTTCTTAAAGATGTGAGGAAGCTGGCAGATTAGAAAGAGAAGCATGGCATACGTACCTCATAATGAGACTCAAGTCCATGAACTATACGTTGCTGCCAAGTCTGGAATCTTTTAGTCTTTACATACTGTCCATCTCTAGCATGTCTACTTCTGTAGAGTTTTACAACTGGCGGTCTGGAATTATCTATTACGTATGGAATTAAATATTTTTCTTACTTCTATATATCTTGTATATTTAGTAGCTTGTGCAGTGTTATATCAACATTCCTTGATACTTGTCATATTGCTTTGACGTGACATTCTGTGAAGATAGTCTCCTGATATTGTTGAATTCATGTTACCTATCACTTTTACAATGTGTCTTGTGGTTAAGAATATAGTCTTTGCATAATGTAGTACGTGCTTCAAGCATAAAAGACTGAGCACGTTCTTGTTATTGCAGGAGGTTACTGCAGACACAGCAATTGAGGTCCCAGATGTGAGTGTTGCAAAACAGATGATGAGGCGGCATGTGCGGAACCTCTTAAGTATCTTGAACCCAAAAGAAAGGAGGATAATCCGGCTAAGATTCGGTATTGAGGACGGCGAACAGAAATCATTGTCAGAGATTGGAAACACATTTGGCTTGTCTAAGGAAAGGGTTCGACAATTAGAGAGCCGAGCATTGTACAAGCTGAAGCAGTGCCTTGGCAGCCAAGGACTTGATGCATATGCAGAATTGCTTGTATAGGCAATTTTTTAATCTTTCATGCCTGTTTCCTTTCCTGGCTAAGTACTAGAGCAGTAACAATTAAGCTTTTGGAGCCAAATCTGACGCCAAGCCATGGTCCATTATTACTTAAAAGAACCTAGAAGCTTGGCAGTCGGGAAAAGAAACTTGAAGCGTGTATATACATGTTAATATTGAAATGACCTTGAAAAATCTGCTATTTATGGAAGAGCCGAATTACATTGCAGATGATTGATACTGGGTTGCAAGGTCTTTTGTCCCCTCTATGTTTGGTGGCTATGCTCTGTTGAGTGTGGTGGAGGGAAGGATTCAACTTCAAAATGCAAGACCCAAAACAATAAATAAGTCTCAGCCTCTCGCAAAGGGTTAAATAAATTTTTTTTTAAAGAACTTTGTTGCTTACCACTTTAGTAAAGCACATATATTGATATGACTCAATTGCTACAAATCATTGGGCTTGATTTAGTTCTGAAGCCATTTGTTGTGAATATCAATTTGTAAGTTGTAACCTATGGCAGATTTTGAAGTTCCTAGTAAAATTCTAGGCGCGTCAAGTTAACGAGGTTCAATGTTAACGCAGAGTTCAACCTCAGTATCCTCAGTGATATAATAGGCGAGTAGAGGTACGTCATCCTCCATTTGCTTGTCAAAACGACGAAGGGTGAAAATACTTCGAGGAATGCCCCAATACTTCTCAATTTTCTTGCGCAGGTGAGACACATTGTCTGTTTCCGACACCCTCACGTATCCATTGGCACCCTCTTGCTTCACCAGAACGTGCACTTCCCTTCTTTCCGCCATTGGCCTCACCCTCAGATTCAGTGTCTCACTTTCCCGGAACTTGTACTCTCGAATCACCCCATCGTTCCTCAATTGTCTTGTGTTGTACCACAGGCTTTGCCTTTCCACCTCCACGCTCAACTCCTTCTCAATCTCCAATTTTAAATCCAATATGGTTTCCGACGCCAGCATGTCGATCTCTGGCACTATCTGTCCACCCGCAATCCTGAAGCATATCATCATTTGCTCTAACTTCATATCAGGGAACTACTCTACCAGAGTTATTTGCCAGAGATCATATTGTTTTTGCGCGCAATACTCATAGCGAATGGAAATGACAGAGGGATTGAGAATTGGGTGCTTTATTCATTCTCTTTGCATTTTCAACGAGATGAGAATCTCGTTTCCATTTTCTGTTTTGCTGATCATGGATCCGGTCTGTGAGAAAATAAAAACTGCAGTTGCTGATCTGTCATGTGGTAAGTGCGGGATCCTCATATTTTCGGTATCAGCCGAATCTGGGGCTACAGACACTACTCATTTTGCATGATCCCTGTGGTTCAAAGCACCAAATCCCACGCTGATTTTGCATACGAAAGAAAATATTATTTTTCATTTAAACAAGCAAATAATTAACCTACCATTTGCAAAGATATTATATATTTCGTACGTGATTTATATATAAGCCATCCATGCACATGTCATGGATCTGTACATCAATAATCCAATATTTGTGGAAGCAGCACCAACCGAACATTTCTAAATGATGTTGATGATTAGTACATGTCAGAGATTTGCTTGAGTGAGAAGTTTATAAATCATTGCAAATGATGACGGTGATCATGGAATTTAAAATATATATATATATATATATATATGTATTAGACGAACCGTCATAAGAAAGTGGCGATACCATAAGACAGATCAAGCACAAAATAGGACCTCAAGTGGGATGACATTCACGTCATGAAACAAAACCTAAGCGTGCTTTAACCTCTGCATCTGATTGATTCACATATCACGTAGTAGTGTAGCAGCAATGCAGCTGACAATTACTTGAGAAAATGAAAAGCTTGAATATCTTCCTCGCAAGCTCTCCGCAAGACTTCCAAAGGAGAAACATGTACAGTAGAGAAGGGAAAACGAAGGAGCCAAACGATTGACCGTGGTACGCATGTTAAATCGACATAGTGTGACCAATGACGAGGACATTGCGTCAGTTATATAGTGAATAAAAGATATTTCATGTCATGGTTGCCACGAGCAAGAACAACAAGGAGACATAAAGCTCTATTATGCTCGAACTCGCTACACTCTAAGAGGATCAAAACAATCCTCAGGGACTCGCAAGACCTCCATAATTACACTCTTGCCGCTTGCTATATACCCAAGATTCACTGTGATATTTTGAATGTATCAAGCAAAAACGTAGGCTGGGCCACCGTCTGTGTCCTTCCAACAAGGCAAAAGCGTTAGTACTCCCCCAAACTCTAGCTCTTAACCCTTGCATATTCCCCACTCCCAACAATATGTTGTATACAACTTTATTCGCCTCTTGACGTTGAAGGTTAATTACCCATCGATTTATGTATCCTGCGATGATTCTGAAACCCTGTTAGTTTTGCTTCCCAATAAAATCTGCGCCTTGTAAATCATGTTTTTAGCGCGGAGCAAATATATTGCAGTACTTTTTGTCCCCAAGAAAGTGAAATTATATTGCATAATTGGGCTATTCTATATTTATCACAAAGTTGTGATTGTGACAAGTGGTGGTTGCAATAGTAAGTTACTATATACTTGGTCTAGAAGACCCAGAATTCCCATGATTTCTCGCCAGAACAGGTCTTATTTATAGAGTGTAGATATCTTGATATATAGACACTCGGTGGAAGCAAGAAGTAAGCACGCTAGCATTTATTGCATGAGTTGGCTGTATATAGAGAGATTCATGGCAGCGAAGGAAAGCGACTCAAGCCAAAGTAATGAGGAGCAGCGGCAGCATTGCGACCCAAATTGCGAGTCTTTCGGGCAGAAGTGCAGTCATATGGTGAAGAAGCAGAGAACTAAATTCTACATTCTTCGCCGTTGCATAGCGATGCTCGTCTGCTGGCATGAGCATGGGGAGCACTGAGCTGCACACAAGCCTTCACGGGTATCATATATCCTCTCTCTCTCTCTCTCTCTCTCTCTACACACGCGCGCGCGCGCGCGCAATAAATCAGGATATTGTATCTTAAATGGGGTAGCATGTTCGTGATAAATAGGAATTGCAAGTTCCATATACTATTATAGTTTAGATAGCATGCAAAAGAGGTGCTTAGATCTGTTGCAGCTTCTGAACTGTTAGGGTAGAGATCTTCTGTTGTTCTACTTCATATCAGAATTCAGAGCTATATTATATCAAGCGTGCCCTCATTCCACCCCCCCCCGACCCATTTTTTACGTTAATTTATTTTTCTGAAATCTAAAACTTGAAATTCCACCATCCCTAACTTTGACCTAATTTCCAAAGGCTTTGAACTTTTAGTTGTTTGATTTTGAATATATTGATCGTAGGGTGTGTGTTTTTTTTTGGGGGGGGATTAAAAGGAAATCTAACGAGGAAAAGTGACGGATAGGTCTTAAAAAAATAAATTAATTTAACTTAAGTTTTGAAATATCAAACTTCATAAATTTATAAGTTTAACTTTTAATTTTATAACTTTAAGTTTAAAATTTATTTTTTAAATTTTAATATGGTTGAAAAATAAATAAATTTATTTTTTTCATTAAAATTTGAAACATAAATTATAAATTTATCACAATAAAAAAATAAAATTGAAAGTTGAATTTATAAATTCTTAAAATTTAATATTTTTTTAATTTAAATTAATTGGTTTTCTTGGGATATGTCATTTTCCTATCTAATAATAATTTGATTTGTTATTTGTTGTGTAGGTGATGAGAATAGCGATGAAGAATCAAATCAACTGCTCGAGAAGTTCATATATCCACATATTAGGAATAGGATTCAAACATTATTGAACATTGATATTGATGATGATTGAAAGATGATTATATTTAATTTATATGTTTAAAATTTAGATGATGGATTCTGGTGTGCGTGTGAATTTTATTATGAGTTATGATTTGAATTATAAGTAGTAGTTGTATGTTTTTAAATCGACAAAAATATAAATTTTTGTTTGAATTATGAATCGTAATACTATATAATTATATGTTTTTAAAAAATCAAAAAAATAAAAATAAAAACTGTATGGCTGGGTCTGAAAAAGTGTGAACATTTCTTGAAAAAAGGTTTTAGCCTTAACCCTCGAAGAGCCGTCCTTAAGGGAGAGACTTAACGTTTTTTTTTTTTTTTTTGACAGCTCTACTAACAATTGTAACTTTTTATGAATATGACCATCTCCGAAAACGAGAGATCATGAACTGATGGCTTACAAGTGCAATTTAACGGCGGCTTCTTCATTGGTTTAGAAGGAAAATTTACAATTTAAATTAAGATACTGAAAATTAAATTAGTCATTAAATCTATCAATACACTGATTTAAGGAGTAATCATTAAAATCATAGTTAAACTGTAATTAAATTAATCACAACTATAGCATTTTATTAAATTGGTCAAAATATTGATTTAATAATTTATCTTAATGACTTGAATTTTTCATACTATGCTTTAAATATGTAGCGATATATTTGGGGGTTTTAGTAATCTAATTCCAAACTTCAAAGAAACTAACAAAATATTTTATCTTATTTTTTATATAAGCTAAAATTTAGAAATTTTTGGTTCTTACTATAAAATAAAAGTAGAATAATTAATTTCATCCTTTAATTTTATTTTTATTTGTTTATTATGGTTTGAATTAATATATAACAATTCATTATGGTCATTAATTGTAAAGAAAGATAAAATTAGAAAGATGCGTTTTTTTATAAATAATTTTAACTTATATTAAGGACTTGAGAGTAAATTGGTTAACTTTAACTTATATTAAGAATGTGAGAGTAAAATTCATGGACACCCTACTTTGCAGGTTGCAGCTAAAACAGCATAAATGATTATAACATTGGCGGCTAATATATAATGATGTCGTGATTGTGGAAACATAAAAAACAATTAAGTGATTGAATCGTGAAGATTGCTCTTTTTCGATCCTCTTTCGATTAACATCAAATTAAAGTGTAAAGAGAAGGAAAGAGAGCTAAAACTTAGTTTAAGAACATTGTATAACGCACGCACGCATTGAGATCGCAGAGGAGGGGCCAGGAGACAACAGAAAGCCACAATTAACGTTTATTTTTGTGGGGGTCCTTTCCTTTTCAAAGGTCAGGTTGTGTCCTCAAATTTAAATGTTTCATTAAAAGCAGCAAAAAAAAAAGGGGAGGGGAATTCACCAAAAAGGAGCAGTGCACATCGTACATGTAACAGTAACTAATAGACTTGGTCACCCCGGACACCACAATCAGCGAGCACCAAAGTCCACAACCCCCCCACGGTTTAATTAGTATGGGAAAACAATATGGTCATTTTTTTAAAAACTTTTTTGTCCTCTTCATGGTCGAGAAAAATATGGCGCTTTGATTTAGCTTTATTTGGACAAGTTTGTGCGAGGTTGCTTTTACGTTCGTCAGCTTTTTCTAGGACGACAAAACATCTCTTCATGAATGGTCCCCCATGCGCAAAGCGAGCCTGTCTTGCTTTATTTTTCTTTATCACTTTGCTCGTGGAAGTTGTGTTCAGGTAAAACAGACTATTTCTGTACTAGTGAATAATAATCACCTTATGTTTCGACTTCGTTATACTTGTCTATTTAAGAAAATGGTTCCACATTCCGTATTTTCAGAATTCTAAACCCATTTAATACTTATGAATATAACGTTTTTAGAGGCATAAAATATGTTATGAATGTGCATTTTTTAACGCATGCAGTAATTTGAAAAGAGAAATGGAATAGGAGGAAAAACTCGTTAAAAATGGGAGGCAAAGTAATTGTGGGAGGAGCGCTGCAAATACATGAAGCACAGGACAGGAGAGGGGTAGGGCCCCTCATGAACGTGGGTCCCCATCTGAAGGACACGTATTCCAGTAGGACTCCTGATGTGGTTATTGCTAAACACCAGAATTTTTCTTAATTAAGGACTAAGGACCCACCCACCCTTCAATCTTCTCCTGCCTTTTTTTGTCTGTTTGACACGTACTCACTCTTCACCATCAGTGACTCGTTATAAAAACTGTATTTCATCTATCATGCTTTAAAAAACAAAAAAAACAAAATAACTGTATTTCACTGTATCAGTTAGACGTGAAGATTGTACCAGTCTGTTCCCCCCCCTCTTGCGTGCCCTATTTTAAAATCCATGTTACTTAAACTGTAAATTCAAAGTTCGTATGAGTGTAAAAGAAACGTAAATTATTTTCAATGATTCGAAGATAAATTTGATGGTCCAAAAAAAAAGGATATTTAAATTTTACCTGAGTGATACGGGTTCTCAAATAACTATAATTAAAAAGATACACATTATTCAGTGTCGGTGCATGGTTTATTTCAAAAACACAGTGTAGTTGGGCGAGGCTTCTACTTGGAATTGGCTTCATACGTATCCAAAAGCCCAATGGCGTCAAAGCCACTTGAGAAAGGGCCCAATTTTTTTTTTTTTTTCAAATTCCTTTTTGGGTTGAGAGTAGGGAAGGATCCAGTTTCATCATAGCGGTCTAGCTAGATGATTCAAATCTAATATAGATAGTTTAGATTTAAAATTTTTAAATAATCAATTTATTTTTTAACCAAGTAATAATTCATGAATTATCTTTATTTTTATTCTGCATTTAATTATTAAAATAAAAAATAATTAATATTAAATATAACTGTGCAAATTTAATATAAACTGTCGGTACTAATGACAGCTGGATCTGCCTTTGACTTCGCCCCCGAAGACAACATGCTCGTCGACAACATGGGCATGGTACTGCACCTGCGAAAGGAACCCTAACGCGTAACTACATTTTGCAATACCCTGTCTCATTTACAAAACACTTTTTAGAAAGAATATGTAATTTTTTTTATAAATTACAAAGTGATTTTTTAAATAGTATTTTAAAATTATTTTTTATAAGAGAAAAAATAATATGACATCATTTTTTGAATTTATTATATAGAGATATATTTAAAATTTTGTACACTTTTATTTTTTGAATTTTTTTATTGATATTGATAAGATTGATAAAAATGACTCATAAAGAGGACACAAGGAGTAGTTCAAAAAGAAAAGCTTGTGCAAGACAGGTACTTGGTGATGAGGAAAAGAGAGAGGGAGGAAGAGAGGATTATTTTAAAATCTTAGTTAAGGCAATTAATTACTTTCAAATTTAGTAATGATTGAGTTTAGGAGAATGATAATATAAATTTGAAAGGAATTAATTATTTTAAGTGGAACTTGTTTGTAGTTAAAAAAAAACTTACAAAAATAATAATAAAGCCCCCGCGCAGGTAATGAAGAGCCATGAAATTAAATTTCTTTCCATGCCTGCACCCATGAAGGGCGTCAGCTTTTTGAACAATCATTTCCCACGTTTAATTTTCTTATATTTGTATGTTATTTTTCTTAACAATGTAATACACATTCCCGAATTTAACAAGCCTCCCTATTCTCAAACAACTCAAAGGATGTTGATATGGTGGGCTAAGACTTGTTAAGTTGGGGAGTCATATCTTCGTTTCCCTCCTTTAGCTTTGTCATCACTTATCATAGAGCTACTATCATCGCGAGCTCCTCTGGAAATGTTCTTGACTCAGACTTGGATTTTGTTCAAACATCTGATAGAACTGCCTATGGACGCACGTGCAAGCGCAAGCTTATTTCTTCCTATGAAACTGAGGTTTTTTTACAGAGTTTCTTGCAAAAACCCTCCTTTCAGTGCCGCCTTATAGTTGATTGTCTTCAAGTCATCTTTTACAGCTGGTTTGTGGATTTACAGGTGCCTTTTTCGGCATTTCATTATTCTCATGGCAACGGTGAAATCTGTATTTCTACGGGAATGGAACCTTGATTCATACTCCCTTAACTCTACAGCGAGCTTGAATGAATGGAGGCATAGAGACATTTGTCTATTGATTCTCTGGGGCGTTTTTTTTTTTTTTTTTGGTTTTTCCTGGACCTGATGGTTGGAGGATTACCTGTTGCTGTGGTTTTTCGTTTTGTTTGTTATTTCTAGCTTTTTCTTTCTGATTCTTTTCTGTTTCCCCCTTGTTTGTTTCACTTGGGCTTGTTTATTATGGTTTAATTTCTATCTTTACCTTTAGTTTGCGGGCTGGGGAAATTAGTCATGCGCTTTTATGATGTGTTGTTACCGTTTTCTATTATTGCTGACAAAGTTTGCTTTATGATAAATAATTCTACGGGCTAGATTATTTTTTAAAACTCTACAAATGAATGTCTACAAGAATAATGTCTATTCCCACAAAGCATTCCACGCATTAAAACAGATTGTGAACTTTAAAAAAAATAAAAAATAATTCTAATTTATTTAAATCAATTTTAAATTTCTAAATTTTATCTGCTCAACGTTGGAATTTTTTTTTAAATACAAGGCCAAATTTCTAAATTATATTTGCTCATCGTTGGAATTTTTTTTTTAAATACAAGGCCACCAAAATTTGTGTAAAAAGACAAAAGTCTAGTCACATCAGAAGTTATGAGGCTTATACAATTAAGAGGTAGGTTGGCAAAGATAAAAATATTAAAATTTTCATAAGATGTCTTGTAAGCTAGAAGGTTAGTGTAGTTATTGGCTTCCCTGTAAATATGGTTGAAAATAATAATCTAGTCTCTTATGAAGAGATTTATGATGTTCTTCACAATTACGGAGAGGGGATGAGTGTAGGAACTGTTGTAAATGAGCAATAATGCCTCCAACAAATCAAAGTAGACATTAATCTCATAGAGTTTTCTATTGTCAGAACTTTATCTACACGCACATCAATACATCATTGCTGTGATTTGCACCAAGTCTAGCATACAAACTGGGGCTATGCATGTGTAGGGTTAGGTAGGGTAGCCTCCTAACCTAATGCCTTGCCCTAATTGTGGTTGAGCAGAAAAACCATGCCCAAAGCTTGACCTTACTTGAAAGACTCCCATTTTTAAAAGGGCTAAGCAGTCAGGGTTAAACAGGGATCGAGCATCTTAGGCTGGATGTCTAATGCTACCTTTTTTTGGACACCTAAAAGCTTTTTGTTTAATTAAAATTTATTAAGATTGAGCTCACAGTAGTTACCAATAAACCATGTCCAACGACAAATAATGGGCTCAAAAAAACCTAGACAAAAAATAAACAGGCCTAAAAAAATCTAATTCATACAAATAAAAAAGATTTCCTCCATCAAGCTAGATAAACTACAAAAAAAAAAAAATATATCCATGAACACCAAGCAAGTCACATATAAATTATAAAGTTTGAGATAGTAAATTCTCCAGTTTTAATGGGCTGGGCCCTTTTCCTTTAAAGAAAAATAAAAATGATTTTCTCTTTCAAATAAGCACTCTGGCATGCAAAACGGCATCGTAGTGTCTGCGTTTGCGTTCTCCCTTACATGCTATATTGCTACGGATAGGACTCTGGAACGTCCGGGAACAAGGGATAAGAGACAGCAGCCAGGCGAAGGATGGAGAAGTACTTCGGAAATGCTTATCGAGGCGACCCGGGCGTGCCGCACGCCGAAGCGGAAAGATTCGTCAACATTTGGATCGGCTCTGCTGCGTTCAGTGTTATCACCTATTTTAATCCCTATATATGGCAACTCTCGAATCAGTTCAAGTACACTCTTTTTTTCCTATCCTCTCTGTTCATGTTATAAGTTTTTTAAATCCTGTATTTGTTCGTCGAATTTTTGTGGTTGGAAGCTCGGATTTTGATGGCATGGAAGAATTTATAACTATTGGTTGCCTGTTTCAAAATTGTTGGAACTAGTAGGTAACTACACGCTGTAGGAAATCCCATCTGCATGAAAAGCTATTTGCCCCGCCGGTCGCGGATTTATGGAGAAAAAAGTAGTATGATTTGTTCCGTGTGATGCTGTTTAGTTGCTCGTATAACCCGCTAAATAGTAACTACAGCTGACGGCGGCCATTCCATTACATGTTTCCACGTTTGTGTGTTTTAGATACTACTTAATGTCAATCAGGGTTCATGGAAGCTAGAAAATTTTATTTTTAGGGTGCCAACATATTCATAACCATACACAAGAACTGAGATGCGTTACCCATGAAGTGTAATGCATCTGGTGATGACCAAAGAATCATAACAAATTAACTAAAAGGATTTTTTGATATTTGCAAACAAGAATAAGAAAAATGTTCCATTTTATAGATATTTGTTATTTGTTAATGTGTTAGTTTTCTGTGAGGGTTTTTGAGTTACTTAGATGCAAATAGAGAAACTTTTTTTAACTCTTTGGGATACCGCTGCTGCTGCTGATGTTTTGGGTTGGGAGAGAGGGAATTACAGATTTCTAAGGAAGGAAACTAAAGCATGTGCCTTATGTATAATTGTTCTTTTATGACTCCTGTTTTCAAGGATGTACGACTCGATGATACTGCTGGTGATTAAATTGAATGAACGCTTGTAATATATCTCTTTTTAGGTACGCTGTATTTGTGGTATTTTTATAATTTCATGTTTGTTAGATCAAAGCGGTACCGTCTATATGAATCAATAGGTTAATTCTTTGTTTAATCAGATTACTACTAATCCGTGCAATGCCATTTGGCACTTGCATTGGCATTATGAGTAAATTTTCACCACTGAACAACTCTTGCCTTACTTTTTAAATCCTCTGAAAGTGTTGGTTGCACTTTTTGAATATTTGTTTTCAGCAATATTCTGTGGTGGATTGGAATTGGCCTCGTTTGTTCATATATCTGGACAGATGTGAAAGTGACTCTGTGGTTCTCTTAGTTTTGTTGAGTAGCTCTAAGTCCTCTGTACCTGCATTCCCAGCTATCTGGGACCTAGTCTTGGCTGAGTTTAATTTTATCAAATGCAGAGCTTGTATCAATATTTTGTCATTATATGAATCAATTGAATCCATTTTTTCATCAAATGGACATACCTACCAAGAGCTTGAAGGCCTGATATCTGTACCATAAATTGCAGCTTTATGCTTGAGGTTTTATAGTTATACAGATATTCCAATACACAAAGCCATTGTTACATCTTTAGACTAGTTTCCAGTTGTGTCTTGTCTCTAGTTTGAAAACTGCTTGGTTTTTCCCTATATCTACACGCGTGATGTTATGAACTAATTATACCATTCTTCATTTATCATGGAGAAGAATAGATTACTTATTGTTTTGCTTGTCATTATTTTGACTTCTTACTTAGCATGAGAAATAGATAATATGGTAGAAGGAATTCTCCTGATGAGATTAGCCACTATGCATGCCATCTGAAAATTTTCCACCTAATTATTGCCACCTGAATGCTTCTAAGTGAGATTGACAATGTCTGTGGGACTACGCCAGCATGCTTGTTCGACCCAGCACTACAAATTTCTCTCTATCTTTAACTTCTCAAATGCAAGTGCCCACTATATGAGGAAAAACAAAAATGAGGTGACAGGGACCTGGTTGGGTCCAATCCAGTGTTCTGATTATTAATGATCACTCATGCAGGAGAGTTTTGTGAGAGATATCTGTCATGTTGGTTTGATCACGCTTATAAATTAAGGATGTGATGGATGCTGCTAGAACATCTCTACCGTGAAAAAAGCAACGATATATCTTACTTTGGCTCATAATATCTTCTCTGGGTAACCAAAGCTTTGCAATTTGTTGCTTCTTAGGTTGATTTACTGCTTGGATCTTTGTTGTTCATCTACCCTTTTTACACGCTGAGCTTATTGGATGATATGATTGCTGCAGTTTCTCTGAGCTGACGATTTTGCTTTCGTTTGCAATTCCTATTACTGTATATTGTTATTAAAGATAGACACCATGACATGCAGTTGGCACGACAAAGCAATGCTATTTGAGCAGTATCACTGGAAACAAGCAAGGAAAAAGAACCAGCCGTATAAATTCAAGGTCTGCGATATTCTTTTGATCCTTTTTTTTCTTTTGGTTCTTTGTTATATTATATTTTGATCAATTGATTGTGTCCTTATAAAAATTTATGCTGTTGCAGTGGAACCAGTACATGAATAAGAGGCTTCGAAATTCATACTACTTTAATTGGCCCCTCTATTTCCCTTAGGTCTTGTTCTTTTTGGTTGCATAGTTGCTGACATTGTACCGTGATCTTTTTGGTTGTTATGCTGGAGCACAATGATACTTCTGTTGAAAGATGAAACTTATTGTTCTCTTGTTCTGAATGCGATTTCGACTAGAATGTCTTGGTTTTTGAGATGCTGTTACAATATGGCGTCTGGTGAACCAGGTTCTCTTTACCGGTTGGCGCTGTTTTGCCTGCACATTTAGATTGTTCAAATATGAACTAATTAAAATTGGCGTGAATGCTAAAACTTTTGATACTTAACCAAGTGCTTATGGGTTTGAACATGTAATAATTTGGTTAGGAGTGGTTTGTCCTTTGCCTGTAATACCTCGGGGAAGATAATTTATGGGAATTTATTTCTTGTGCTATATAAAAGAAAATATTGTTGAAATTTGATGCGGATGTTACAGATTTTTTTTTATTTGTATTTCTATTTTATTTTATCATAAACATTATTTTTTAATAGCTGACACTTGAAAAATATAAAATTGTAAAATTTGGACAAATGAACTTTAGTTTGAAAACAGCAGCATCTCCGCTGCAGTTTTCTATTCTCCAGCAGAAAAACTGGAAAGCCCATTTTCGGCTCTGGCATTTCTGCCTCTCGTGTGGTAGAAGCGGGGTTGATGCTATTTATTCTACCCCTGACAAAATAAATTTCACAGTGATACTATTAAAAATTATAAATAATAAAATTTATTTTTCAGTTAAAATTTAAATTTTGTTTTTAACAGTTGAATTCTTTAAAATACTATTTTTTCTGAGTTTGTTTTGAGACAGTGACATGGCCGTAAAATGTGAGATATATTTTGCAATTTTTTTTAACCAGCACATATATTTTGCAATTACCGTATTTACAGGAAAAAAACTTGTGTGTGTGTGTGTGAGAGTTATAAAATTGGCTTTAAAAGAGCCTGAATTGATGGACAAACAACTCATGGAGCTTAAAATATAGGTATACAATTCTCAGTTTGAAAAAAGGGTCAAGCCTGTTTATACTCGCAATTAGTTAGGATTGTACCACTAATTTAGAGGTTATAATTAATTTTTGGGTTAAAAAGACTGACTCTAATGGATTTAGGGTCAACCTGTTTAGACTCTATTATTATTATTTTTTTTTAATTTTAGGTAAAGAAAACAACCATAATAATGATGTTGCCCATGTTTAATCTTTATTGATGTTGCTAGGATACTTGAATGTTTAGGCTTCTTAAGCTCAATATCTTTGCTAATGATACTTGGATGATGTTGCTATGTTACAGAATTTGTTGTGAATTTACTTCAATATATTTTTCTAGACATTTTTTTTGAAAGTATTTTTGTAGGCTTAATCTCACCAATGATAATTTTTTTGGATCATAAATATGTGTATTATATATTTAAATTGAGAAAAGAAAAAAATGTGCTAAAGTGGGGGCCTTCAGGGAAAAGCCTTTAGCTCTAAAAGCTAGGGGTGCACATGGGCAGGGCTGAGCTGGGCAAAATCTTGCCCAATGCCCAGCCCGAAGAATGAATAGGCTGCAAAATGCAGCCCAATGCCCAGCCATACTTGTAAAAATGCCCTATTAGTTTAAGCAGGGTAAGGTTAGTTGGGCAGCTTTGGGCCGCCCGGCCCATCAAATAATTGCCCTGCTTATAAAATAATAATTCTTCTCATCATTTCAAAATAAAACTATCACAAATCAACAATAATAACCCTATATATCAACTTAAAATAGCATTCATAAAATCATAAACTATAAATCCACAATAATAGCCACAATATTCAATTATCCATAATTCAACATCTAACTTGAAATCTAAAACTACCACAAGTCTTGGCACAATATTAAATTATTCGTAATTCAATCCAAAATAATAGCTATAATTCAAAATAACAAAAGCTTGGAGCATCATCTGAGAAATAATAATTTCAAAAAGTAGGCTCGAATTCATAAAAAGTCTCTTCCCAATTCCCAACTTGCATGAATGAAAGAGAAAAAATATGTCATAACTAAATAAAAAAATTGCAAGAACATACATGAACATTTAAAGCAAAATGAGAAATAAAATATGAGAGAATTGACAACAATAATATATAAGTTTGCTAAAAAAATTAGCAAGAAATCATAGAAAAGTTAGCAAAAAATTAATAGAAAAATTAACAAAAAATAATAAAAAATCGGGCTGGGCTAAATGGGCAGGGCTGCATGACTTGCCCGCTGCCCGGCCCTGCCCGTACATTGCCCAGCCTAAATGGGTCGGGCGGGCATATCGGACAACCGAGCATCATGAACACCCCTACTAAAAGCTAAGTAGGGATGGTTTTAAGGTGGCTAATAGTTCTACAAATATTTTTTTTTGGTCAAAATTTATAGCCTATGCTTTATAAATTGGTTAAAAAAATTGTGTAGCTAAATCTTGTCCCCTTAAATACAAGAAGAAGAAATTCCCCCAAAAAATTTAGCCCCCTTGTATTTTTTGGGTTTTATTAAAAATTTAATAAATTAAGATTCATTTTTAACAATAATATATATGTGTTTTTACAAGATAATATTTAATGCAAAAATTTAAAAATCATTCTCCCTATATGTCCCCTTAAAAAAATAATGACTTCAAGACTTGAAAACATTAGTAGAAAAGCCGGATTGGATGTTAAATTGAAAAAGTTAACAGTTCTCAATTTTTATGATCTAGTTGGTTAGATCAACAGTTAGACATAATAATTAAATAAAAATAATATTATATATATATATATATATAAAATAAATATAGGGAGCAAACCTACAATAAGTCTAGTTGTTAATAAAATGACATGACATTACTATAAATTAACAATATTATAAATTATAATTTTATAACTTTTTAAATATAGGTAGATCTAAGTTAAATTAAATATGAGCAAACTCAAAAATATTTTTATAAAAAAATTTTAATTATATTTTATATATGTGAATTATTAAAAAATAAAATTGTCCTTTAGTAGGAATTTAATTTTTGAATTTTTAAAAAAATGAGATTTTTTTTAAATACTGTATTTAAAACTATTTGATTTTTTGAAAACCACGCTGTTCCCAATTCAATTTTGATTTACGACTTAATAATAGCTCAACTCTGATCCAATTCGATTCAATTATAAAAATAATTTTTTAATTTAAATCGAATTGTTAATGACTTTAAATGATAGTCCGACCGTTCGATTTTCAAAAATAATGCTTGAAAATGAGTTGGGCCCTTCGTTTGAAAGCCTACTCTATTTATATCTGGCCCCTTGAAGTCTAGAATATGTTTTTGCCAAATATATTGATCTCTTGTCGTTCTTTTTACCATTTTTTTATGACTAATAATGTGGGTCTGAGAACTTGCTGTATGAAGTTTGGAAAATAAATAATACTATTTATTATTTATATTAGAGGTTTTTTATATAAAAGAAAACTTCAGGTAAGTTAATTAAATTTAGGCAAATAAATTGATATATGGTTACTATTCATCTTGGATGCAAGGCATGTATCCGTAATAGCAGCTAGGGGAGTTCAACTTATACTCATCTCAATTAACCTGATTTGGCCCCCATAACATCAGGATGGGCCTCGTCCTGACCTAAAAACAATCGAGACTGGACTTTGCAGGATGAGACAGGACATGAGATTAATATCAAGATGTGTTATCCCGAATATTTTATATATATATATATATATTATTTTTATTTTAAAAATATACATTAAATATTTTAATTATATTAATATAAGTTATACTTATACTAATTATATCAATTATAATTTCAATACGTGTAATTTTTATTTAAAACTAAATTTTTTATATTAATAATTTAGTGACATAAAGTAAATAGGCGGTATCTTTCTTTATAACATATTAATTATATTAATATAATTTATTTTTATATTTATTTATTTAATAACTTTTATTTATATCATATTTCTTGTTTTATTTTCAGAACACTAATTAACTTAGCATATCTCAACTAAAGTAGAATAATAATTTGATATTCTGCTTAGCTTGCTTATTGCTGCTGCTCTTATAACCTGAAGATCACTTGTAACTGCTTTCATAACGTGTTATACCCTTGTAGTTGTGATTGATCTAATTCAATAATTAACTTTAAATTGTTGTGATTTATGTACTTGTGTTGTTTTGATTTTAAACTTAATAAATTGTATGATTTAAAATTTTAATGAATGCTATTATCTAGAACTTTCTCTAATATTGTTCGATTTATTGGGACAACGAAATGTTTTGATCTCATCCTGTAAACGTCCCTAATAGCAGATGTCTTCCTCTACGTAACCAAGCCTCTGCCCCTACACATTATGCAAATTTTGATACTCATGTGAACTAAATTTGTCCAATAAAACAACATCATTAAAATCCACTACACCAACCAATATCAAAAACTGGTACGTATAGTTAATAACAGAAACATCAGCCTGGCCAGAACTAAAGGAAGATAGTCGGACAAAAAACCCATTTCCTGTTTCTCATATTACAAGACTTGGCAAGTCAATCTACTGTCATGTTCATAAAATTAAAGATCTAGATTAGAGAGAAATTCTTATAACAGATGAATAATTTCATCCATTATCATTGAACTAGTCCACCTTAGACCTAAAATGCCATTCTTCACTAGATCAACCAGGTGCTTACTATCACTCTATCAAGTCATGCAAATAACACATGTTCCAACTGCATATATCATTATCACAAATCAACCATTATTCTTGCCAACATATTCCTTTAGACATTGACAGCAGGAGCCAAGTTAACTAATCTTGTTACCAAATGAAAATGAAAATACTGGATGAAAATTGTATTCTTCATTGATGGTAAAAATAGAGTAATACAAGAGTATATATACATGATAAATATATTGTGTAAAGTCTAACAAAATTAGTTACAACTAATTAACAATTAAACAGAAATTATTCTGAGGCTAACACCCCCCACAAGCTGGAGCATGAATATTAATCATGCCAAGCTTGGAAATGAAGTCATGAAAAGGCTTAAGATGTAAGGCCTTGGTGAAGACATTAGCAAGTTGATCTACCAAACGAACAAGCATGAGATGAAAGATGTTAAATTGAAGTTTCTCTTAAACCAAATGGCAATCAAGCTCAATATGCTTGGTATGCTCATGAAAGGTTGGATTGGTAGCTATTTGAAGAGTAGATTGATTATTACAGTAAAGAAGAGTAGGAGAGGAATGATCACACAAAAGATCATTAAGGAGATATCATAACCATTGTAATTCACAGGTTGTAAAAGCAAGTGCTCGATACTTAGCCTCCGAAGAAGAGCGAGAAACAATAGGTTCTTTCTTTACTTTTCATGAACTAAGTAGAGAGCCAAGAAACACACAAAAACCAATAACAGATCTTCGATTATCCTTGCAACCAGTCTAGTCAAAATCACTAAAAGTTTTAATCAAAATAAGTAGACACTTGATATTATTGATTTCAATGATATCATTTCCCGTAAGAACAAGATCATCCATATAAACTAATAATGCAATAAAAGTAGTGGAAGTGGATTTAAGGAACAGAGAATGATTTGAAGGAGATTGAGTGTAACCATAGGAAATTAAAGCAGAAGAAAGCTTAGAATACCATTGTTGACTAGCCTACTTGAGACCATAAAGGGATTTTTGTAATTTGCGGACCATATTAGGATGAAGTCTTGAAAAACCTTAAGGAATCTCCATATAGACTTCTTCAAAAAGATCCCCATGAAGAAAAGCATTATTTACATCAAGTTGATGTAAATGCCAATTATGAGCAGCAGCTAAAGCAAGTAATAAATCAAGGGTAGACATCTTAACAACAAGGGAGAATAAAGTATCAAAGTAATCAACACCTTCAGTTTGAGTGTAGCCTTTAGTTGCCAAACGAGCCTTATGCTTATCTAAAGAACCATTAGCAAATTTCAACTTATTCTTGGAGAGTAAGGCCACACTCATAACTTTGGCCCAACAATGATAATTGGTGGCATCTAACGGAGGAGCAACCAGGACTAATGCTTGGTTCTCGTTGGGATGGATGTAAAACGGACTGGTCAAGTTGGAAGTCTGCGGAAGAGGGTTAAGGTTAGGGTTGGGGATGAAGGATGAAGTCTCGATGGCCATGAGGAAAAAGAAGTCGAACCAAAAAATAGGCCGCGTCGAATCAAAAAAATAACAGGCTCATGACACCATGTTACCAAACGAAAATGGAAATACTGGATGAAAAATGTATTCTTCATTGATTGTAAAAATAGTATAATACAAGAGTATATATACACAATAAATATACTATGTGAAGTCTAACAAAATTAGTTACAACTAATTAACAATTAAATAGAAATTATTCTGAGGCTGACAGATCTTGCTTTCTTTCATCCATTCTGCACATTCTGCTATGATCTCTATAGTTATACAATGCCACACTCCTAGCTGGAAATTATGAAACCCTAATGGAGACTTAGTAGTATGGGTACCATATTCCAAGTTGAATAATATGAGATGCTTAATAAACTATTTAAATGAATTGATTCTCCCACCTCAACAATTAATTTTTGAAACAGGGTTTCACATCCCACTTAGTTACCCATCAAACTTCCCTCATCCCTCTATCTTGCTATATATATATATATATATATATATTCTCCAGCTTCATTGAGAAAGGATGAAAGAACCTTTGGTAGACTAACATATAGTCGTTAAAGGAAGCCCTTATGCCGTGTGAAGATTGAGATTTGGGAGAGAATCAGAGTGAGGAAGAGAGGAGAAAACAAGAGTATTATGTGGGTATATATCTAGGTTCAGCACTTACTAATATATTTTATGTAATTATGTCGGGACCAAACAGATTGTTATACATATTTACTAAACTGACTTTGGTTAACTGCATTATTTAGCACGACAGTTCAAAACTATTGATGAACAGTTTCATTCCCAGATATGTTCCCTGAGACCGAGCCGACTGGAAATGCAATAAACTTGCAGTAGTTGTCTCTATGTTGACAGCGAGTTTCTCCTGCTGCGACTCTCCTGGATCTTCTCTAATTCTTGAGGGCGGCAAGGCACTGAAAGAGCTCCTTGCTGTCCAAAACCGTACTCTTCCCGAGCCCGGTCTAGCAGCTCCAAGAATTCCGGGTCAGCCAAGTAGTCTAGTTCAAGGATAAACCTTTTCGCTTCTTTACCTTCGATTGCAAGAACTGCAAATTGGCCGTCCATTACATCGGCAGGCACTGCCTTATTATTTCCCGCTGCCACTTCTTCATCCTCATCCGACTGGCGGGTTGCAGATCTTCTGCCCACAAGGAGCGACAGACTCTTATGTAATATTCTCTCAATCAAAGACCGAATCATCTTCAAGTCTCTCTCTGTAACTCAACTTCTCCAAGTGTATGATGGTGAGCTCGCAGTGTCCAGTATTGGAGAGTGGCTTATTTATATTGAGAAAATGGAGAGGGAGAAATGCCCATGAAATTTCATATACGACACGGTACTGGTGAAGACATGGGCTGTGTTGAGCTACTGTCCATTTAATGCGAGCCATTGACCAATCATTTTCTCCTTTCTCACTCGCGGGCCGTTCTTATCTCTAAGGAGTAAGCACCCATAATTAGTTGTTCCTTTTTATATCATAGTTGACTAATGGAATTAATTTAGCGATTTGGCTCAAGTTTAGAGGGTACGGTCTTAATCAAACTTTTTGATCACATTCCATCCCCGGTTGCATCCTAGATTTTTTAGAAGAAAACTCCGGGTTCTGTACAAAATATCTTCGGAGATTTTATTTGTGCACGGTGATCAGTGAGAAGATTTCTGTAGAGCAAGAGAGAACAAATTCAGGGTTTGCTGCGGAGCTGGAAGTTTTGTTTCACCTGTTATGTGACAGCTCCAATAGTTATATATCTTTTTATCAGGAAAAAAAAAACAAAAGAAAAAGAAAATCATCCAGGTGGTTTCTTAAATATTGTGTGCGAAGTTTTCTCAAGTAAAAATCACAGGACGATGCAAGTGGGTACTGTAATGGCGAATTGGCGATAAGGATCAACACTCCAAGAAGTTTAGACGAGTTGACATGGAAAACAAAACATAGCGTGTGATGTGATGCTTCGTGACATGAATAGTTAGTTTCACAGTTCCCTTCTTTTTCCTGCTCGAGTTAACAGTTGCATATGTATCTATCATTGATAAAAAATGAATTAATGATAGTCGGGGTCTTCAGTACTCAGCCGTGGACATCAAAACGCGTACACACACGTGCGCGCGTATATGTGATTGAAGAAGAATGTAACTGCGTTCTGCATATAAGCAAACCTTAAAATATGATCAACAAGGAATCCATCTGCATGTCGATCGACGTGTTGCACTGACAAATAAAATATACTGATCAATTTCATCTCAACTAACCCTGCACGAAATGGTTCGAACCTAAAGAAAAGGGTTACTGAATATATATCCTGGAATATATTAACCCGTGATTTTGTGATTTTTTCATGAATTTGTATTATATGCCTAATATGGAGAAACATGTACGTACGTGACATTTGTCAAGAACGAGAGTGGAGCCATTGTGTTTGTTGGCGCAGAAACATGGCATTCAATGCAACATTGAGGAGTCGTTTTCTTCCTTCTCATCATACGCGGGGTTTCAACGGAGCAGATCCTTTCAGATCCATAATTTGCAGACCCCTCGGTCTTGAAATTGACTGATCAAACTCCAATTCTTTTTTCGGTCTGGTTATCCTGAAGGGTTGATTTGTGACCACTTAAGGCTTCTCAAGGGATTATCTTTGAATAACGGATCCTGAATGATCGATGTGGAAATTTCTGAGACAGGAGAGTGACCAAGCTCATTTACAATTTTTCCGTGCATTTGGTACAAATTAATGATCCGTGGGATCTATGCTCAGTGTGTGTCGGCAAAAACTAGAAATATATAGATCAGTAGTTAAACTGTGTGTTCATCTTGAGGTTGAAGTGCTACGTACGTTTCTGGATTGAAGTGATTTAAGCAGTCTTTTGAAGACTAAGCTGTAATAATTAGAAGTTAGAATGTCGGACAACTAGAGATTTCTGTCTGTACCCGGTAATTAACGGGTTGGTTTGGAAGTTGATCAAGTTAAGCAAACTCGCAAAAAGAAAACGCGTGTTTAACGTCAGTGTATATTATATTTAACGGGAAGAACATGGTACGTGTCTCTGCATGAACCGTAAGTGTCAGCGATCATCTATATATACTATTTATCATCCTTTTCTGGTTGAAATTTAATGTCACCAATGCAGCATTTACCATCATCTACAAGTCTATAAATATATAGTACTACAAAATATCATGATACAACAATCAATAACAAAATTAAAAAAAGTTCTACTCTTCATGTAAAAGGGTCATAATGCCCCATCATGCCCGGACACGTTTGTTTCATTAATCTGTGATGCATGTTAATCAAACTTTATCGTCCCACCTTAATCACCGCTTTAACTAATTTTAGATGGCTACTAGTAATAACTCATTATATTTTGGCACATTGAAGTTGGAGTAGGTCGTAAAGAGAACGAGAATGGTAATTGTGTCTCAAGTTTGTCGGGTAATCTCATTAGAGTTAGGCAACACGTTCATTATTCCATTTTCTAGCCAGACCATCGCATTCACAAAACATGAAAATGAGAAGCTATTACAAAATTGATTGACTCAGCCTGCAGGTCTGGGAAATCCTAGAAGAACTGGACAAAAATACTCTAATTTATTATTGATAATTGAAAAACGTCATTTAATCATCACCACGAAAAAACACACTAGTAGATATGACAAGATTGAGCATATTATAATGAGTAAAGTGGCAAAAATATCTATTAAATGGTTGGTCAGGAATATCCAATAGTCTAAAATGAGAAAAATGATAGCAAAAACATGTATAATGTTATGAAAATTGGTGTAAAACCAACCAAATTGTTAACTTGCCCTAATGTTTGTTAGTTTTGTATGTTAAATGCTGACTATGCTAATATTTGCTGACATAAACTAAAAAAGAGCAAACATACCCATGAAATTGTGGACCAAGAGTGTCCAGTAGTTTAAAGTGATAAAAGGGACAGAAATACCTATAATGTTACTCTAATAGATGCAATAGTAATCAATCTATCAAATCTTTTAAATGTTGACCACTTAGTTAATATCTAAGTAGAAGTTGATCATTTTTCGCTAACGTGGACAAAAATTATTCCCAAGTACTCCCTCTAATCTCATTTATATGTCACATTCTATAAAGTTTATTTGATCCTATTTATAAGTCACAAAGCTATTTTTTAGGTAATATTTGAGAGATATTTCTAAAATTATTTTTCATGAAAGAGAAAAAGTAACATAACATCACTTTTTAAATTTGTTATATAAGGGCATATTTGGAATTGTATACACTTTTTATTCCTTGTACTTTTTTGCATTGGTATTGATTGAATTGATAAAAATGACTTATAAAGAGGACTAGAGGAGTAGAATTTTACGGAGGTTGATCAGTCATTGTATGAATACCATGTGAAAAAATGTCATTTTGACCTAACAACAAGTTAAATCACTCTCTTCTTTACATTAGTGCCATAAGCCAATTGAGAATCTCAAACCTTATCGTAAACGAAATCACTTAAGGTTGTGTCAATGTTCTTGAGATAGGTGGCATAAAAGGTGTGCGTAGTTACAAAGGTGTTATAAGTAGAGACAACTTTTTTCATGAAGTGTTTGCATTCTTTGCAGTAATAGCTTTTCATTCTCGATTTTTGTAACATCCCAATTTAAATTTTAATAATTAACTATTAAAATTTAAATTGGGATGTTACAATTCTCCCCTCCTTTTAAAAAATTTTGTCCTCAAAATTTGAAGTTAATAACTATTAACTACTTACTTAATCAAAAAGACGAGGATAATCACATCGCATACTGTCCTCGGTCTCCCACGTAGCATCACCTGGAGTCGTGCCCTTCCAAATTACTTTAACCAATCTAATGGTCTTGTTTCTTAATTGCTTGTCCTTGTAATCCACAATCCTTTCTGGTTCAGCTCTGAATGTCAAATTCTCCCTGAGTTCAATTTCCTCAGGTTCAATTATATGGGAAGGATCTGGTTGATACTTTTTCAGTTGTGACACATGGAATATGTTGTGTATTCCAGCAATTTGGGGTGGTAATACTACTTGATACGCTACTGGTCCAACTCGTTTTAAGATCTCAAAAGGCCCCGTACCAGGTACGAGTTCAATTGAGAACTCAACCTCTCGTTTTGGAGGCAAACCGATCACTTTAGTAGGAAAGACGTCAGGGAATTCTCTCACTACTGGAATCTGATCTACACCTTCTTCAATCTCTGCCTTGATTGAGAAGAAAATCATAAAAGCTTGGCAGCCCTTTCTTATACACTGTTTTACTTGAGCTGCAGACAACAACATAGGACTTTGGGACTCTACAAGGGTTACAGTAAGAACTGAGAGTGACACACTCTTTTTCTGACAATCAAGTACAGCTCCATTTGCAGACAACCAATCCATCCCCACAATAACATCAATCCCAGACAAAGACAAACAAATGAGGTCTATGGTGGTCTTTCGACCCTCATACTCAACCTCTACATTTAGACATGCCTTAGCAGTCCTTACAGTCAAACCAGCAGGAGTAGAAATCTTCACATCAAAAGGTAAGGTACACACAGGCAATTTACATCTTTTCATACATTCATCAGACACAAAAGAGTGTGTAGCACCCGAATCAAACAAAGCACAAACATCATTATTAAGGATTCGGATTATACCTCGGATAGCATTAGGGTTGTTAGCAGCCTCTGGCCCAGAGAGGGCATACACTCGTGCTGGTACTGTAGGTCTCTGATCATTACCCCTATTCTGATTTTGATAGCAGAATCGGGCAATATGACCAGGCTTCTGGCAGATGTAACAAACCCAACAATCACCAGAATGAAACTTCCCACACTTACTGCATGCTTGATTACTAGCAGCACCGGAAGTAGGAGTAGAGGTTGCTGGACTCCTGTAAGACCCCTGACTCCCACTCTGATTCCCTCTGTAGCTTTGGCCTTTATGGTAGTAGCCCTTCTTCTTCTGATTTCTAAAGCCTCCAAAGATTTGACTGCTCCTCTTCTCTACTCCACCAATGGGTCTGGTGTGGATAGGGGGCTTCCCATGAGGTTCTTTTCTCCTCTCTCTATCAGCTTCTAATCTAGCCTCTCTCTTCCTCCGAGAAACTATTCGAAGCTTATTGCACATCTCACTGAATGTCTTGATCTCAAAAGGGGCTAACTGTTCCCTTAGATCAGGCCTTGCCTTCTCTAACAATCGTTCAGCCATCCACTCCGTGTCTTCATGTTTCTGGAGGTAAGTAGAGTATTTAGATAATTCTGAGAATTGTTCAATAAATTCATCCTCATCTAAATCACCCTGGCGGAATGCATGAAACTCAGCCTCCTTTTCTGCTCTCAGTGCAGTAGGAAAATAATTCTCGAACAATATGGCTTTAAAATCTTCCCAAGTAAGAGAGGAATCATCCTTCGGTCCTGATGTTTCCCACCATTTCTTAGCACTCTTCTGTAGTAGGAATATTGCCAGCTGCACCTTTTGATTAGAAGTGCACACAACCATATGAAAAATACTCTTCAATTGATCTATCCATTCTTCAACCACCGCTGGCTTAAGATTTCCATCGAAAGTAGGAGGATTAAACTTACGAAAAGTACTCCAGATCTTTGTGATCGTGGATGTCTGTTGCTCAGAGTGAAGACTCACATTCTTCGGACTAGTCTCATGGTGAGAATAGGGAGGTGAGCCTTCATTAGCAGATTGGCTCGCATTTAATACCTTGGTATGGCTTCCTTCTTATTGGCCATTTCCCTCTCGGTTGGAATTCTCCTTATATTGTCTTAAAGCGGCCAACTCTTCTTCTTGTCTCTTCATGCGGTCACTAAGATTATATAGTAGATCCATCATTTGCCTCATGGTTGGCTCATCCTGCCTTAGTTGTGACTGTATGGGCTCGCCCTGCCCAATTTGTTGCTGTGTGGGCTCCGGTTGTGGCAGTGAAGGTATGTCATTTCCTATTGGCTCTATAGAATCACCGACAATTTCGCCACCTCTCCTAGTTTTAGACACCATCTCTCCCCTCCTAAAGGATGGAAGTCACATAATTAAGTTAACACTAATCTCAAGACAAGAAAAATAATGGAGAAGTATTATGATTTAATAATGTATATTGCCAATAAACTAGGTTAATGTATAACAATTTCATAATTTATAAGAATTTAAAATATGTAGCTCTGATACCAAAAATTAACTATTAAAATTTAAATTGGGATGTTACAATTTTTGATTGCGTACAACTTATTTTACTGTGTTAAATATTAGGTTTTCTAGACAAGAAAATTGAGTGAAGAGAGAGGAAAGAAGTGGGTGAGATATGTGGTGATGGAAAAAAATCACGTGACATGAATTTTTTACAAATTAATTACTATTGCACTTATTAAAGTAATGTTATGAGTACTCCTGCCTCTTTTTCACTTTAAATTATTGGATACTCCTAGCTTATAACTTTGTAAATATTTTTGCTTTTTTTTTAGCCTACATCAGCAAACATTGACAAGTGACAAGCGCATTTAGTATTTAACATCACAAACTAACTTACGTTAGAGTAAGTTAATGGTTTGATCACTTTTACACTAATTTTAATAATGTTCTAAGTATTTTTATCCTTCTTCTCACTTTAAATTACTAGACACTCATTGCCAAATACTTGATGGGTATTTTTGCCCATTTTCCCTATTATAATTAAAAAAAACCAGTCATATAATTTTTACATTCTTAGCCATTAAAAGATAATATCCATTTGGAAGCAAAAAATAAATATTTTTAAACTTTTTTCTTATTATTGTCGGTCAATTTAGGGATTATATTTTATTATTGATAATAATTTAAAATAATTTTATTTATATTTTCCACTTCTTCATTAGATCCCATTCATAATATGGTCATTTGACCAGTGTTATTCTTTTCAACAGTATATTACTTTTATTCAATCAAATTTAAATTGAAAATGGAATATTTATTAATTTCTTTTTTTGGTAAAAGAATATTTATTAATTTCTATAAGATATGACTATTTTATTTTAAAAAATAAACTCATTTTTATTCGTTTTCATTTCTTTTGACATAAAAATATTTTATTCAAAAAGTTTGACATATATGAAATTGAAAACACGTATGGTCAAAAACTTTTCACGTAAAAAGTTTGTAATCATATTAGTAGGAAAAAATATATATACATAATTTATTAAATTGAAAACTTGATTCCTTTAAATCGATTTTCACAGAAAAGGGTGTGGTTAAACCCAAATTGTAATAAATCACGCCGTCGTTTTTGGAAAAATTAAAAATGCTGCAGTGGTTAGGCTCGAGATCCAAATGAACAAGTTTAACACAGTTGTTTTGTTTTATGGATCGAAATCCCAATTTCTAAGTAAAAAAGCGATCTTAAATCTTTGAGAGGCTGCTCAACAGATTAAAAGCCGAAACATAACTAATAACAAAATAAAACTAATCACTGGACTCTTCAGTCTTCAACGTACAGTAGGACAGACTGTATGGCCATTGATCCCAAAAAAGGCAGACAATATGGCCTGAAACCTAACTGTACGACCAATATAAAGTACAAACTAAACAAGCGTATCCACATGCAGGAAAATCGATTTACACAAACAATGTTTGTCCAAGTCGATCATGAATGAATAATAGTTTATATCTTTTTAATTGATTATCTTTGATGTTGCCTATGCGCGCCTAGCTAGGGACGGCAGCGCATGTGATTGTCGATTATGCTCTGGAGTTCTTGAGGGTTGCAAGGGACGGCAAGAGGACCCTTCTGTGCGAAGCCATACTCTTCACCGGCCCTCTCCAGAAGCCTCAAGAAAGCAGGATCTCTCAGGCAATCTAATTTCACCGTAAATCTCTTCGCTTCTTCGCCTTTCACCGCCACCACCACAAAATGCCCTTCCGGGACCCTCCTTCCTCCTCCTGAACTTCTCGCCCCCAATGACAGACCCTTCAGCACCTTCCCTATCTTCGAGTGCTTCAGCATCTTCATCTTCTTCTTCTGGATTATTGTGTGTTTCAGATCAAGTTCAGTAGTGAGCTTTGAAGTGTGATATAATTACGTAGACCCGATCGATGAGCATGACATGGAATGATCGAATATATATAAGGAATTGCAAGGAGAAAGAAACATGCAGGAAGCTTCCATATTCTCTGAATTCCGTGTTGATCGATGACGCAGCAGCCATAGCGCGACATGTTAATTAATGCGACCTTTTGACGCGTTGAAGCTTATTTGTTTCATTCTTCCATGTAAGCTGGCCTCCTTTTCCTTGCCTTGCCACGGAAGCTCTCTTACGCCTAATCCTTGTCCCTGATTATATTGTTATAATATTGTCACAGATAGTTCAAGCTTCAACGACAAATCATATACGTTCAGACCAGTTAATTATCTGACGGAACAACAGCACTGTCAGGAACAACAAGCATTCTATTGACGTTGAAGATGGCATTTGCGAAGGGGGACATCCGTGCATTTTCAGCAGTCATCCAGCAACACCATGTCCTGTTGACGGTGTCGGCAAAATCTAATTGTTCGACGCGTTCCCATAGCGTTCCACTATTTTTTTCCCTTGCTTGTTTCAGTCACGTTTCTGTAGGTTTTGTTTGCACCTCCATATTTGTTTTTTTTTTTTTTGGGACAATTCAGCATGCGGTGGTCTTCACTGGCCTCTGGAAATTAATTTTATATTTGTGGAGACTGAAGTTCCATGGAGTTTTTAAATCGATCTGAAGAAGGCGTACTGTTTCATCTGTCACCACTACTCGTATAACAGCGCTGGGTCCGTTTTGCTTCTACAGTATTTCTTCTTTTTCTTATTATTTTCTTTTTCAGGGACACCGTTGTACCTACAACTTCAATGCCTTATCGGAATCTTCGACTATCAACATCCAAGACTTTAAAATTTCGGTATCGTGTTTTTTAAAGAAGTCAACAAAATGAGTTCCAAAATACAATAGGCATTTGTAAAGCGAAAAAAAATTAATATTTAGATATTTTTATATTTATGACCGTGAAATGATTAGTGTGACATAGAGTATATATAATATAAAGAATAAATTACTGAAAATATACCATGGTGACGGAAATTGATTAAACCTACATGTTTAGGTAATTTTGAAAAATTAAAGATCATAAATTAAATTATATTAAATTAAATTAGTGTCCTATATATTGGAAATGATTGTCACCATTGATACTTTTTTTATTGCTCATATTTGAAGCACATTCAAATACTAAATGTAGGCACTTTTCTAATGAAATTCAAATTTTAATTTTTCACATTGTGAGGCGTCACCATTAATACTTTGTAAATAACATGATTTGTTAATTTGATTTTTTTTTATTTTTTTTATTTCCATCACAAGTAATTATTGGAAGTTAAAAATTTTATTTTTGAAAAAACATAAATATTTTACAATTAAATTTTTTATAGTAAATATTCTCAACCTATAGATGACCCTACAATGCAACTTCTTTATAAATGTGATCATTCTCGTCCACAAAAATATGACACATCATAATACATGGACTATACATTACATATATATGTTAAAAAATTAAATGAACAGAGTTTTTATTTCAATGATAACAAGTTGGAGAAGCCAACTTTACGGCAAGTTATAATGCAGATAACAATGAGACAGAGATTGTATAGTTGACGATGACATTTTGCCCAAACTATGCATCTCTTACAATTTGATACTTTCGTTCAAATTTACTTACACTGAAACACATGTATTCTTAAATATACTAGTGCTTTTAGTTGGTTCACAAATTTATTGACACTAAAACACGTGTATAAACCATGAAATTAATATAAATTGCACTATTTACAATATGACTTGATGTGTTTTTAAAATTTCATGTATCACAATTTTTTGCCTAATGTATATGTCAAGCATTACCTTTTAACTCCCACAGTAAAATTACCACAATATACGGGACCTACAGTATAATAATGAGAATAAATGTCTACTCTATTTTCTTGAAACATTTTGAATAATTTTATAGACTTAGATTTCGAAAGATGGACACTTGCCGTATGCTACGCTGCCCTTCAACTCGTTCACTCTCTCATTTTCGATCTCTCTCGATAGAGACAATGATATAGAGTCCTTTGAGTTGAAAACACATATGTGTGACCTGTGAGCACAACAATAATAATAGAACCAAATTTAATTAAAAGATCGTCAAGGATTGATGACGCTGCCCAGCTGGCACTCACACCACAAGTACTTGCAAGTTGACCAATTGACACCAGACAATGGGGGATGGGCACCTGCAAGTCTGCAGCACCAGTAGTATGGAAGCCCAAGGGGTAAAGCCATGCGAGAGAAGTCATATTGTGTGATGATATGAGGCCCATAAGAGAGAGGCCATCAGATGCCATTAAAAGAGCATAAAGATTAGGGTTAGAGACTTAGAGGGATGGTCTTCTTCCTCTTGGTCCCACTCTTCAGTCTGTTACTCCCTCTGCTTTAATTTCTTCCCTTACCTGGTGACCGGCGTGTTGCTCCTTTGTTTGTGCATTTGTATTTGTACTGAGTTGTGTTTCTTGATTAATTCCATTAATGCGTTTAAAGTGTGTTTTTGCTTTGAGAAATTGTTCTGTATCCATGGATGAAGGAATGCTGATGCCTATTTTTATATATCAGGCTATTTTTAACTAAATTGTTAGAATAATATTTATATATATGAAGTCATAAATCATTGTGACATTGAGTAATTACATGTATATAAACTTATTTTTTTCCTTTTTTTTATTTGTATATGCAATTTACTTTATATTGGTGTGTATTTTAGATTTTATATCTTATATATATTAACTTACTTTTGCATGATTTGAAGATAGTTTAGTTGAATTACCATCTTTATGTGTACACAAGGCTCATACTATTTTAAGACATTTGAAAGTCATGAATCCTAACCCTTAGATTAATCATTTAGAGTCTCAAACATCCTGAAAACCTTCAGAATTTCGCACTGCACATTGGCACCCCCTCATTCATGTTTGATGCACTCATCATCATTCATTCACCTCCTTTATTTTCTCTCAAGAACACTCATGAATCCCAAACTCCTGTTCACCATTTCTCTACCTTACACCCCTCCATTTCACCATCCAGATACACCATTTTAATATCCTAACAGCCCGCACAAAAATCCTTAGGTCCAAAATAATCATTAACTCATCTTCCATCTGAGCCATAACTCAAGATATCAAAGAGAAGCTATGGAGGTCCAAAAAGAGACATGGTTAGGCTTATCTTCTCTTTCTATGATGCATGGATGAAGCCTTCTTGAGCTCTTGAATTTTGAGAGTTTCTCTTATCTCTTAACTCTTCTTTAATACAGTGAGTTTTGATAACTATAATATTGTGGTGATAATAGTTGTTAGAATTGAACTTTGAGATGTTTGGTTAAGTATTATATAAGGTTTTATATTGTTAATTTGCCAATTGAGGTGTTGTTTTGTGAATTTAGGTGCAGGCCAAATTAATATGATTTCCGTTGTTGCATTGTATGTTAGTCGCCTCTTGTGAGCTTGTGAGACATAGTTGTGCTTTAAGCATATTCAAGCTTGGCTAATAATTTTTAATTAATTTAAGGTCTCATTTGGTTAAGATAAAGCTAAAATTGATAATTAACTCTATAATTAACTAATCATCTTTAAGCACAATTAGTTTTAAGGGTTAATTTAAGTTCTTGTTAATCTAAATAATCTAATAATACTAATTATCAGTAGTTACTAGGATGTCTTTAAAATCAATTGAGATTAAGAAAAAATTAATTAGATTAAGTAAGGATAATAGAGGAAGTTTGTGTGCCTAGGAAGACCATAAAATTGCATTTTAATCACACATTCCATTTAATTTCACATTTGTCTGATTAAAAAAAACAAAAATACTAGTTTACTTTAATCTTTGTTTGTTCTAATTAAAGTCAACAAATCCAATCATTAATAATTGTTTTTTTGGTAATATTAATCAACTAAGGTATTAATTTTTTTTAACTGCACGAGAGATTTGATGTGAAAATTTGATGTGCACTAATTACATATGCACCAAATTAGATTAAGAAACACCTCAATATATATAAGGAACAACCTAGGTCAAATTTTTCATAGAGTTAGTTAAAAATTAAACCCTTAGTCGATCATATCCACCCAAGAACAGTGATTAATGATTGGATTAGTTGATTGCAATTAAAATAAACAAAGATTAAATATAACTACTTTTTCTTTTTTACTTTTGAAAAACTAGAGAGATTTGAAAATGGCTAGTTTGTGTGTTGACAATGCAATATCATGATCTTCTCAGGAACATGAATTGCCTCTCTTATCTTTACTCTGACTAATTAATTTTCTCTTACCTCCAATTAATTTTAAAGATATTACAGTAAGCACTAGGAATTAGTATTCTTAGATTCTTTAGATGAATTAGGATCATTGATTAACTTTTAGAACTAGCTGTATTTAAAAATGACCACTTGATTATGAAGTTAATCATAAATTTCAACCCTTGCCTTAGCCAAATGAAACCTTAATTGATTAAGAAAAATGATTAGCCAAACTCAAGTGCGCTACACAACCGTAACTCTCAAACTCATAAAAAATGACTATAAATTAAATGAAATGAAAAATTAAAAATTAAATTAATTTCAATAGCACTCAAATCATCATGACAACACCTCAATTGGAAAATAAATGACATAATAACCTCATATAAATCACAAAGTTCAATCTCAACAACTATTGTCACTATAATATCATAATCATAAAAATTAAAGGAATTAAACCAGAGGTATGAGATAAGAGAAGTTTCCAAAATCCAAGGCTTATAAAGACTTCATCCATACATCTTGAGAAGGTTGAGCATGCCTAGCCACTCCTTATTTGGACCTCCATAACTTCTCTTTGAAGACCATCAAAAGAAACTACCATGGAAGAGCACTTAAAGAACACACCTTGATGAGGTGGAAGGAATGGAGATTTTTTTTTTTTTTGGGGGGGGAGGGGGTTGTGCCGACTGTGCATATTCCCTCTATTTCTCTGAGCAAAGTTGTTCGTATCACAATGTCTATTGTGTCAGCTTGACCTTTCATAAGTGGAGACAGAATAAAAGGTTCACAATAAATATGCTTACCACCTGCTCTTGATTCAACACACATCCAAGTGGATGATTTTATTTTTTTTTCTCCAACTACAATAATCTATTTTGATCAAATCCATGAATTTAAATTATTTTTCCTTTTACACACATTGAGAGTTTAATGTTGGGTTTGGATGGTGAAATAGATGGCTCAAAGGTGAAGAAGTGGTCCAGTGTTTATGGGTGTTCTTTGAAAGAAGAAGAAGAAGAAGAATAAGATGGAGGCGGAAGGAGAGTAACGTTAACACGTGAAATCATCATACTATAATTCTTATATATTTATTTATTATTTACAATTTTTTTAGAATTAACGTATTAGTATGTATGGTTTTTTCATCTTTTGAAAGATTTTAACATTTTTATAACAATATGTACAACTTGGTATGCAGTTACATTTTCTGATTACAAGATTATGTAAAAAATTATTGATGATAAATATTAAAAATTAAAAAAATAAGCATAATATATTGATTGCTTTCATAGAAAATCATGTGTCTGGGAGATTTTGACATATTTTTCGGCTATCAAGTTGTCAATGAACGCCAAACCGCACTATCGAAAGTTCTTTCTATTTTTCAGTTCATCTAACTTTGATGTAGAGGCAGAGGCTAAACAATAAAGACTTGTTGCCACTTCGGGTCTATAAAAATGCATGCAAGAACTCTGTAGCCAGAACTCTACAGACTACTATGCCTTGAAGTTCAGGATATCTTGAGGATTTCAATTCTAGTTAGTTGCAGAGCTACGACACCTTGAAAGATTTAGCAAAAGAAAAACAAAAACAAAAAGCAACTGACACCATATGTTAGGTCAATCACAATGTTTTTCCCCCCAGTAACAAGGTCAATCACAATGTTAATAATAATAGAAAAAGAAAAGACAAAATCTACCGAATCCTAGTGTGAACCACACTAGAAAATTCTTGGAAAGGGGCTAGGGCACTCTATCTACATTCTACACCTTCAATTCCTTCACAAGACCTTTTCTAACCATCGTGCCATTGCCAGTAATATCCCACTCTACTTGGACCAATATGCATCAGAAATCATCATAGATTTTTATGTGTTATATGAGCAATGTATGATGACAGTTTCTGTGCAAGAGTTATTATTGTTATACATACACTGCGTTCTACCAAACCATGGATCTATAAACTTCACTTTCCACATGACAATAAGAAGCTCGAAAGATGTACCTTTGTTCGACAAAACTAAATTTAGCAGTGTTGCAGATTTACCTGGCAACAGACTCGGAATAAAAAATCAGAGCCTAAATAAAATACCCAAATTTGGAGATGCCAGAAAATAGCAAGCGTTGAACAGTCAAACGAAATATTTTCTCCATACCCAATCAAGAACAACAAATTCTCAGAATGAATGCCTCCGTACTATCAAGAGGGCATCGCAACAAAAGGCTACAAATTATTTAGCAAGTCCCGACTTCCAAAGCCACGGATGACAATGTTTTCCCAAATTGAACTTCAAACTTGCGGGTGTTACGAATGCAAGAGAGTGCCCATTCAGGAATATTCATCAGGCAGGGCTATAATTATAATTCATTTTGCAGAAGCAAAAGCAGCATTCTTCACAAAACCAGATTATTCAAGCAGACCATACGCTTTATAACTAGATATCAGATTGTCACAACCACACGGTCCATATATATTCCTCTGAGTCTTCAATGTTTAGATACATTTTTTATGCTGTTTATGACGACAGTGAGTACCTATAGTAACTAGGGCAATGAGAAACCACTCTTTTTACAAAGAGTAATCAAACAGTAGGCTTGCGCTCGAATGCAGTGCCAGGGTCGTCTTGGCTCGGGAAAACCTCGAGCCCCGTGACCACAGCATCAGGGGGGCCTCGGCGACACCTTCGCTCCATTTCCTGCACCGCTTCAGGGCTTCCGGAGAATAGAGCCTCCACAGACCCATCCTTCCTGTTTCTCACCCAACCTTTCAACCCCAATTGCGTCGCATTTTCAATGGTCCAATTCCTGTACCACACACCCTGAACCCGACCCTTGATCATAACCCTCTCCTGCACACGAAATTCACTAAAATGCATTTGATAAAAAAAAAAAAAATCCCCAAAAGGGCGACACGACCAAGAAACGGAAGAGACTGATGAAATTGAACAAGGAAGAGAAGCGAGAGCATACCGTTTTGGTGGGAGAGGAGTGATCGGAGGCGGAAGAAGCTGGAGGAGAGGTCATTAGGGAGACAGAACGTCGAAAAGGAGGTGAACTAGGTTGGCGCAGAAAATGAAGAGGAGAAGGAGGAAGAGGAACAGGATGGCAAAGCGGAAGAGGAAGATAAGGAGAATGAGAGTGAGAAAGAGGGAAATAGGAGAGTCTAGAAGCACCACTAGCATTGATCCACATATTCCGGTGCATCCGAGATGGAGGGAATCTGGGCCGGGACAGAACAAGTGTTGACAGAGAACGGGGAAGTGAGATTGCCGATGCCATTCGATCAGGCTGGCTTAGATTGTCATATAATTTTGGTGCGGTGGTTGTCAAAACACTGTTGTAGAGTTTTCCAATGGTGACATTGATAACTTGTCGGTGTGGATGTGATTTCTGGAAAAAGGAAACGAACTCTCATATGGCCGAGGATTCCATGCCAGTTGGACTCAACCCTCTTCAGATAGTAGAACCCAAAATACGAATCCGGGCACGTCCCACGAAATAAGCGACGACGAGTGCATCAATCTAATTGGGCAGGCAGGCAGGCCACAGATGAAGGCCCATTGGTGAATTTTATTCTAGAGCGGCTGTTTTTGTTGGCCTCCATTTTTTTACCCATCTAGGGTTTATCATTGCAAATTCCAATCTGGCCAATGCCTGAAACATCATCTTGCAAGAGTTTTTTCAAATTATTTGGTAGATGATCCAGATCAAAAACACAAAGTCTTGGTATTTTCTACTTCTTTTAGTTCTAAAAGTAGAAATTATATAATTAATTCATATAGGTTTTTACAAAAAGTTAGATTAGTTATGCATGAGAAAAAAACGTGTTGATTTTTCTAAACACGTAATTTAGAAAAGATATTGTGGTATTTAATTTTAATCGAAAATTTCTTAATTTACATGCACAACCGACAACTTTAAGCAACAGATGTGGAATATATAATCATCATAAACATAAGTCCTAGTTACTTTCTCCATCCCCATGAGAGGTTTTTCAAAATATATTTTTAATCTCTAAATATAAGATATTATTAAAATATTTTTTAAAAAATAAATTATTATATCCTTATTTAATTGAAAAGAAAAAATGAGTATTTTTATTAATTTACTTTAAAAAAATATATTCATTTTTTATTTATAATAGTTATGAGTAAAATTAAAATATTACTGTACTTTTAATTAAATAATTAATTTTTCTTAATTTATTTAATTCAATTAAAAATATTTTATGTATGGGAATTTAGGAAGTAGCTAGTTTATAGGGATTAAAAAATGGATTAAGTTGTGTGGTGTTTTTCTAAAAATATCCCAGTTTTTAACGAGGGTATTAAATATGAGAGAGAGAGAGAAAACCAACGAGAGCAGTGAAAAAAAATATATCAAATAACGAAGACAAGTAAGATTGACGTCATATGGTAGTTGGTATCAAAATAAATTTCTCAGCTAAGCCTTGTATATTTAGATTGGAAGGGTAATTAGGCAACCAATAAGACCCTGGGAGAAGAGTTAAGAAAAGTCGACAACAGTAGATGTGCAGACTGAAAAGTCGCAATGCAAATCTCGCGTAATTAAAGAGACGGTCAAGGGCGAGAGGGAGGGAGGGAGGGAGGGGGAAAGTAAAGGAAGTGTAAGATTACAGTCAACCTCAGCTGACGAATTTTGGATTGACACCTGATAATAGGTCTTGCCTTTTGAAAAAAATAAAAAGATAACTATTACGAGAAACATTCAACTTCGTCTTACAGTTAGCAAGGGAGATGGGGAGGGCCAGAGAGCTGGGACTTTGAAAAGAAAAGGTTTTTTTTTTTTTTTTTAGCAAAGAAAAGAAAAGGGTGGGGGGTGTTTTAGGAAAAAAAAGAAGAAAGAATGATTAAAAAGTAAAACCGGCGGCGGTTTTCCAAGGTGGGACGGGAACCCGGTAAGGTAAACATCGGCAAAGCACCGTTTTTTGGGCCAACGACAAAAACAACGTCAATTTGCACCGCTTTAATTAAAATATACTCCATTCTTTTAAAAAAATATTTTAAAAAAATTAAATATTTAAAAATATAAAATATATTTATCTTTTGGACATATTCATTTTTTTTTTTAAATATCTCTATTCATAATAACTTTATATTTATTATAGGATATTTAATGAGGATAAATATAGAAGATAAAGTTAGTTAAAAAATAAATAATTATTTTATTAAAAAATAAAATTTAATTAAAAATATTTTATATTTTTAAATAAATGAATTATATATTGATTGGTAAAAAAATTAAACATACACTGCAACAGAAATAGAGAAACCTGGCAAGTCGAACTCCCGGGGGAAGGTAAAGGACAGTTAGCCTTTAAAGTTGAACCAACGACGGTAAAAATTTTATTAAATTTTTTTTAAAAATAAGTTATAAATATAAATTTTAATACTTATAAATAAAATGTTTATCATAATTCAAGAATTATATTCATACTTAAATAATTATTTATAATAAAAAAATTTAAACTTATAATTATTTTGATCAAGATTTTTAACTTTTTTCAAAAAAAAAAACTTACCGAAGATTCCAAAACTCAACTGCCCTTTTCCCAAGAAAATCTACCTTCAGTCAGACTCTGCCACGTGTTACTGAACGGGAACCACGGGCCGTCCACCCAACACTCGCTCTTATTTTATTAGTTAGTAATTACCATTACTGGAAGTTTATCCGAAACCGTGGATTATTTCCTGGTTTGCCCACTTTATTATTTACTCTGGGCAACACGCTTTTGTCGGTTAGTATTCCAAGGCTAAAAAATTATTAATAATAAATAATTTACCAAATGACTGTGATATTCTACATATTAATTTCTTCATCCAGACAAATTAAAATATACACGCACTTCCAGGAATGGCCCTGTGTATTGATTCCGGGGAAGAAAAGGAATCATACTGTCTCTCTATAAATTATATTCATATTTGGACGGGGCGTCTGGGCTAGACGAGCATAATAATTTATGAATTATGAGCAGGCAACAAATGACTCTTGGCCATTCCTTCTAGATGCTTCTAGCTCAATTTCTCTATTTTTAAATGAAAAGGAAACTCAACAAAGAAATACTATCTTGTATTCTTGTAATAGGTTTTGAAATAGATTTTGATGATTATTTTATTTTGCACACAAAATATCCGAAATTTCTCAATCAAGTTTAAACATATAGTAAGATTGAATAAGGAGCAGCCTTATTAGTATAACTTTCGTTTTTATTAAGAAGGTTTTAATTCTTAATTTTATTTTAATCAATGCAAGCTGAGTTTCTTTTATTTAACTCAAATCAACATACATAGCTGTTAAAGGCACTCGATAAGGCCATGTATAGTAGGATTATAAGATGTGTATTTGGATAAATTTTTGTATGCGGATCCAATTTACTGTGTTATTTGTATCTTATTTAGTAAAATCATATACCATGAACATAAATTGATTTTATTATTGATAACAATAAAGAAATTAAAGAGAGACTCTATTGACAAAATAAATTTATTACAAATAATGATATATCAAATTTTATTTAATTTAATTGATATAATTTTATTAAATGTAGCATAAATGAGCCGGTTTTTGTTGTCCACGCAATAATTAATGCATGTGAGGATGGGGGGTGGATGGATGGAGGATGGGGGCAAGGGCATACATAGAAGGAGGGAGAAGGGGAGAGGGGAGGACAAACTGAGGGGGTCACATTCAACGCTGACTCACATTTGCGTGCTGTTTTGTTCGAAAAAGGGCTAACAAATGAGGTGTTGCAAAAGTCTCCTTTAATTCCCATAATCATCGTTATCAGTTCCCTGCAGATCAAACATTAGTTTCCGCATCTGCGGAGGGCCACTCTCTGTTTAGTACACAAATGAGGTAAATATTGCGTCTCATCTCATGGCCAGCCCCTCTTTCCCCGCACTCTTCGCGATCGGTTTTTAAATTGCTCACCGTCCACTACCGTACCTACCTGCATCTCCTGTTCTCTTCTTTCATTGCCTCCCAATCCACTTTCCTTTCTCACCCAACCACTCGAATTATCGTTAGCTACCCCGGCCTTCTTAAGTTAAACTATTTTCTTTCCACTCCATCATGAAAATCATTTTTGTGATAAATATGTTGAAATATTTATAAAATATTTTTTTATATTATGGATTTGCATTAATTAGATATTGAACTTAGAATAGATTAGTCTTTATAATTTTGTATAGACTGTGATAGGTGCTGGTGGACTACATAAGTGAGTCCAATAGATAGAGGCTCAATCCACAATCCTGTAACAGTCAATTATTCTCTATCTCTTAACTGACTGAGTCAAAAATATTTAGAAATTAATTAATTAATTAATTATTGACGCAATTATTGAAATTATTCATATAATGTGATCAGTCAATAATTACCACACAGAACTCTTTTCCATCCTCTTCATAATCTTTGTACTCTCTGAAAGCTACAAGGATTTAGTAGGTTACAAGTCTACCTACACTCTAAGTAATCGAGGTAATCTTAATTCACTTATGGTTGGCTGGGCCGAGATTGAGGCCCAATCCAAAAAAAAATTTAATTATGGTTATAGCCCAGTATTCACAAAAATTGAGGCTTGACCCCAATAAAGTTTTAGAAATTACAAGTCCATCCTAAACTTTTAGAATTGCATTTCAACCTTAAATCTCTTTTAAAATAATTATTTTGCCCCTAACCACTTCCAGACATTTTGTTTATGTCCAAAAATTATCCCTAATTCCTAATAGACCTAAAGGACTCATGACATTACTTTAGTTTGTCATAAAATTCATAAAAACCTTATGATTTATTATGATTTGGATCTTCTTACATTTGTAATGGACATACTCCAAAGGTGTGACATTGGTAATGTAATATTGGGGTTTGAACTTTTGAGGATAGGTATACTATACTTGTAATGTATTGTATATTTGTTATACCTCATAAGTATGAAAATATTTAATATTTTTTTATGAATTTTTGTGTGAGCCAAATCTATATGATATTAAAGCCTTTTTGGTGCATAATAATAGTTGCATAATTGAAATTCGCTTGTTGGAAACCCTGTACTATAATTATGTTGTGCACGCATAATTATTATTTTTCATATTTTATTTTGTGATTTGAGTTTCTATGCTTTGAGGAACTACTTTTTGTTAAAATCCTTTATAAGATTTCTTGGTACATGATAATAATTGCATAATTGAAATTCACTTGTTGAAAATTCTATATTATAATTATGCTATACATGCATAATTATTATTTCTCATCTTTTGCGATTTTAGTTTCTATTTTTTGAACAACTATCTTTTGTTAAAGCTCTTTATGGGACTAGTTATGATTATTTGTAAGAGTCGTTAAGTATATAGTTTATCATTTTAGAGATTATTTGGCTTTGAGAGAACCTAAACCAATGG